TTGTAAATGTATTTTTTATTGAAAATGGCATTTATATACTCTACTTTACTCTACTCTACTCTAATATATGATATTTACTTTACGATTTAGTTAACGATTTTCTGTCATTCGGACGAAAATATAACACCGTTTACATTATTATTCGGTAGTTGTCCAAGATATAAATTAGTGATCAATACGCGTGCAAAACATCCTACGACGAAATTTGCACTATCAAATTCCGTATGTATTACTTTAGATAAAGAACAGGAAGTCTTACCTGCTTACTTGATATAACCGAATACAAAGAATGGAAGTCACAATCGAAATATATCGACGATTATCGAAAATCACCTAGGACTTAATATCCAACAATATTAACCTGGCACTGAAGGTCATTTGAATAAACACTGACCAGGCTCTATCGAAAATATCGATATATTTGCTAAATGAGGTGTTGTGTATTGGTAATAGATGTCGGACCATCGATCTGAAGGTCTCTGGTTTGATTCCTTACCAACATCACGTGATAATATTTTTTTTTAATTTACTTGCATTGATTAATTTGAAATCGTATTAATACACCTGTGTTTAGAATACCTTTTAAGTTGTGTTTTACACAATTATATATGTTATTTCATTACGGTATATTTCAATGTTTCTCTTTGTGACATTATGCAATCGAATATGCCTTAGCGCCTTAAAGTAAAGTCTTGAAAATTGGCATGCAGAAAATCGACCATATTTCTGATTACATTCCGTTTACTTTATTCAAATAGTTTCCCACTCGACGTCAAAGTTGACCTTCAAAGCCCGTTTTGAACATTACTTTGTTGCGTATCCTTGGCAACTGTTACGGGTATCACAACGCCGACGGAAATTATTTTTTCCTTTTAGATAATATAAAATTTATAGTTTTGCGCCGAAAAATATTTGAAAATGAAAAGAAAAATGTCAATTTTGTGTAAAATTTGACGTTCAGTTTAGCGAAAATTTTCGGCTTTAAAGCGAATTATTAAAAAATTTCTGATATAAATTTTTGATTTTTTCTTTAAACGTCCTTTAAAAAAAAGTAAAAAATTAATCAAAATTACTGACTAAATAGGGTAGGATATGCAGCGACGTCATGTTCAAAAACGGGCTTGGTGGTCAACTTTGACGTCGTGTGTACAAAAATTGGTTGAAACTATTGAAATAAAATCAACGGAATCAAATCAGAAATATGGTCAACTTGTTGCATGCCAATTTTCAAAACGTTACTCGAAAATTCTCAAAGTGTCACGTTCTACCTTAAAAAATACTACACTGATAGTACACATGACAAAATGGTTTGCAAAATAGTTTTAAGAGAATGGCAATTTCTAAATTAAAATAAAAGAGAAAAAATGAAACCGCTGCAATAGGATTCGAACATACCAGTTTACGTCTATATTCTTCCAGGGAACCCCTTACCATCTGCGCTAATAGGATTTTTAATTTACGCCATTTGAACAATTGAATATGTAGATCGTTGCGGAATATACCGACTACAGGGTCAAATGCAGGAGTGCCAGGTCAATGTTTTTGGACAATTACAGGAATACCACGCAAGTTCGGATGTAAACAAAAACAGTAGGACTGTTTTTTAAAATAAGTAATGAGCAAGGAATCTAATTCTTTGACATCCACATAAAAATGTCTATTGCGGTTAAATCTATGATTAAAAAATATGTCTGACAATGACAACAATTTTTATCACCAATTTGCCTGTAACACGTTCAAATGTGTTAAAATTAAAGGGACTCCACTGAAGTTTAAAAGCCTAAAACATAACATTTGAATTTCTTACATACATGAACTGGGACACTTTAAACAGAAATATATGCAAAGATAGTTAAGAAATATACTTTGAAATAAATTGAAAATCGTATTTTTAATGCTTTTCTTAGCCCGTTTTTATTTTGTGTACATTCTTCCGTAGTTTGTTCTTAATGTATACTGGTGCAATGATAAGAAGACGAATACCATTTTGTTTTAATTTGTCCTACTTATTCAGATTTAAGAAAATTGTATATACCACGTTATTACTATAGGCATCCCAGTATGGTTAAATTTATTGATCTGTTAAATACATGTAATACAAATACTTTGAATAGATTAGCAATATTTTGTAATAAAGCATTTAGTATTAGAAATGAAAATATGAATAATATAATTATATGACTAATATGACAATATCAAATGTTAAATTTGTATGTTTGTATTTTCACTCTCGCTGTATTTAATGCATGCTGTATATTTGTGTAATGACGAGGAACTGTTATGTTCAAGTCATATTGAATAATAAAATCTGTTCTGTTCTGTTCTGTTCAATGATTTGTACTGTATTCGATCAATGGAGATTCCATTGGATGGTTTTGTGTGTTTAAATGGACAGGTTGTATTGGTAATAAGACAAGCTGCCACGTGATGAACAATCAGGATTTTCTTGATGATGATTCGTAAAACAAAGCATTGGGTGGTCTGACCTGTAGGTAAAAATATAATGTATAAAGAATTTTGAGACATCGGTGGAATAAGGCCAATTTGTTTTGTGTAGCAATACCTATATACAGGATTTATAATTTATGTTGCTCCATATTTTAAGCTTAACTGATCCAGCTCAGGGTGAGCTTTAAGGATCGTTGAATGTCCGTCGTCTGTCGTCCGTCGTCCGCCGTCCGTCCACACTTGTTCGTTAACACTCTTGCGGTCACATTTTTGCCTCAATCATCATCAAGGTTTGTCAGGATGTTTTATCTAGGTAATATCTCGGATGAGTTCGAACATGGGTAATCTCGGATGATTTAGGTCACAGGAACTAAAATAGAAAAATCTTGTTAACACCTGGCCCCGTGTTCACAAAGAAAAGATCAGGATCAGGATCAGTTGATCCTGATTTTATTTTCATTGTTTTATGAAACTATAACTGATCATATTATGCTAGAATTAAATGGTACATATTCAAAATATAAATAATTGCTTATTTGCAAAGAAACCGTCCTATTTTGGGATAAAATCAACAAAAAAGAGAACAAATACAAAAATAATCGGATCAAAATGAGAATCAATTATAGGATCAAGATCAAAATTTGGATCAACTGTAAAATATCAATATCTTGTAAAAAAAACAATAAATTCATTCTAAAATTTCATAAACATGCTATTTCAAGTACAGTTTTATCAAGTTAATACTGAAAATTCAATCTAAGAGGATAAATAATGGAGAATATTCGAGTTTTGAAATTTGATCCTGATCCTGAAATCTTTGTGAACACGGGGCCTGGGTTCAAAAACTAGGGTCACACCGCCCAAATATGGAAAAACCTAGTTAACACTCTAGTGGTCATATTCTGCAATCACCTGTCATGAAACTTGGTCAGAATGCTTGTCTAGGTAATTGTTCGGATAGTTTGATGTGTCAGGTGAGCGATCTAGGGCCGTCTTGGCCCTCTTGTTTATAATAGAGGAAAGTGTCAAATTTCTAACACAAAATGATGATTTTATCCCTGTTTCTCCTACTGTTAAAATATTTAACGGCTTATCAGCTAGGCTTGTATTGCATTGAGATGAGAACACAATCATTTGGGTTTTATAGATGACAAATGCATCCGTGACACATTAGCTTGAAGACATTCTTCAACACAACATATTGACATATTATCTCTTCCTTTTTATCACATTTGACTCCGGATAATCTTAGTCGTCAGCATGAAATTGGTGGAGGCACCATGTTCTCTTCAAATCTAATGTTCGTTTAAATGTAATGAATTTGTAAATATATATAGTTTTGTTTTATTTTATGTAGAATTTCTCAAAAATTTCCTCACGCTATATTTTTAGAATAGTTTTTTATAGTCCAAAAATGACCAATAAATAATGAATGTTGCGAAGCTTTTTACTCAATTAGGGCCAAACATCAAGCAAAAATTTAATTTTCAACATAACTTTGAATAGATTCCATTATTATCTTTTGCCTCTAAAAGATTTAAGCGTTTTTATTGTTACATAAATGAATCAGCAAAATGTTACTGATGTTAAATTCAAATTTGTATTTTTATCATGGAAAGTAAATGTTAAGAAATTGGAGATGATTTTTTTTATGTTTCAATTACACAGTGTAAATGCATCCAGCTTTGAATTCTGTAATGCATACTCATGACATCAAATTCTACAACATGCTTGAAATGATAAAACTGAAAGCCTCATACGTTCCGAGTGTCTTTTATTTAACCACTTAGTTGCCATGGCAACATAACCAATTTATGTTGTTAGTAGAATGCAAATCTACCTTTGAAATATTAAAGACTTAAGAACCTTACAAAATGTAATACATGTTGGTTATTCTTAGTCTAAGTAATCGTTATATATCAATTCACTAGAAATTAGGACTCAATTTTCGTGTTCCCCACCCACTTTAGGAATGTCAGAATTTACAGTCTTACACATTAAAGTTAAAGATAAAGGTATTGATCAAAATATTCATTTTCACCCTTATGCCTCGACTGATAGGAAAAAATGTCTGGATCCATGCTGGTGGCAAACCCATTATGTTGGTTTTGTCGTGATGCGGCTCATATCTAAATCTTTTATAGTTTTTCTATAAGGCAAAGTCATACTCAAAGTCGTGTGGTTGATGTTAGAAGTGTTGAATAACACTGTAACCAATATCAACTATGTAGAACAAATTTACTTCCTGCGTAAACTTATAAAATGATTTCTTCGTCTCATCGTTTGCTTATTTACTTTAATACTTTTTTTCTTGAAAATATTGCGATTTTCTGAACTCAATTATTCATTTGTCATATTTTTATTTTCCTTCCATTTTTTATCCTTCACGCATTGTAAATATATGATTTTTATCTCGTCATATTTTTCCGAAAATCCTTTTAGCGTAGTCACGTAGTCTTATTATCTGCAGGTTTTTTATTTATCAAACTTAAACAATTTTAAGGTCAATGTTAAAACTGATATTGCTGGCTGCCACTGAAGAGAGTTCAGATTTACTGGTGGCATATCTGGTGATATTGTCGTAGTGTGCATATTGTTTAAGTGTCCCACAGAACGTCATTAATAGCTTAACTTTATGGTTTATCACAGAGAGTTTATATACTTTGAACATATAATGATGTGGTGTTTGCTCGGACTTTCACTTCTTATATGTAAGTACACGTGTATTCATTCTTTAAATAATACTTTGGAAAATGAATAAATGTTAACGCACAGTAGATCTATAAAATTTTAAAATTTTAAATTCTCCACGCGATCGTAATAAAGTAATACAATAGAGCTATATTATTAAAGTATGTCTATAAATGTATTGTTTATGGGGATACCTACTGGACTGGATGGAGTACGTAATAACAATTGATCATATCATGTTCATACCGTTCCGCGGCTCTACCGACTGAGCTATCCGGCCGCTTACACATCGTCTCCAGACCGCGCACTCTGATTAGGATCCACGCTGTTCGCTATCAGTTTCTCTACATGTAAAAGGGTTGGTAAGCGAACAGCATGGATCCTGATCAGACTGCGCGGATGCGCAGGCTGGTATGGATCCATGCTGCTCGCAAACGCATTATGTTGGTTTTGTCGTGACGCGGCTCAAATGATTGATGCGCTATATACTTGGATGGAACTTTGGGCCGTTAAGTTGCAAATTGTTAATTGTGGAATCACTAGCGCCTCGTACAATATAGGTTCACAGCCATGTATTGTCCAATAGCAATAGATTTCAGTATTGTACTGATCATTGTATGATAACCTTACATTATAGCATATCAAAATATGCAGAAATCTAATACAAATAAGATAATCTGTAACTTTTTTTCAGTCGACATGCCCAATGTCACTTGAATTGTAAATTTTTATAGAGAGTTTATAGATTACTTAACATTTGAGCCGCGTCACGACAAAACCAACATAATGGGTTTGCGACCAGCATGGATCCAGACCAGCCTGCGCATCCGCGCAGTCTGATCAGGATCTATGCTGTTCGCTTACAAACGCTATTACAAGTAGAGAAACTGATAGCGAACAGCATGGATCCTGATCAGACTGCGCGGATGCGCAGGCTGGTCTGGATCCATGCTGGTCGCAAACCCATTATGTTGGTTTTGTCGAGACACGGCTCATTTATCTTATCTTTTGTTTGCCTTAAAGCTGCACGCCTCTAGATTAGCAAAAAAATTTCAATAAAATCAAACCTGAGATTGATGATTTAAGATATTAGGAAAAGTAAAAAAGATTCAATATTCTAGTAATAGTGTGCATGTTATGTGCGATTAATGATCTATTTTTCAGCATTTATAACTATATTTCTTCTGCGTTACTAACGTAGTAAGAGCTATTTTTGTATATTTTGACCTCATTTTTTAATTTTACATGGGTTGTACACTTGTAGGCGCCATTGATAATGTGTAAATTGCATTCTTTTGGTAACTTTACAATACTATACTATTAAATACATTTTCAAATTTTCATGAAAATTAGCATGAATCTGTGGGTGGTAGGTGTAGGAAAGAAGAGTTGGGATATGTGAATCTATGTATAATTTACATGCGTACAGTCTTCAAAATGTTTCATACAGTAGTATCTACGCACATAGGAATCTGTCTGTCCTTATTTACATATAAATCATTTTGCGTTAACGCTATTCCACGAATGATCGATATCTCTAGAAAATGAGTAATTATCAGATATATGCATGATTATGGTGCTATTTTTTCTGTTTAATGTATAGGTCACGTGGTCTACGCAGCGGACATCGATTACTTGAGATCAACAATTACCAAACACTTCTCAGAAAATCGTCACCACGTGAACAACAATACTAACAAAATGGCCTCCAAGGAATTTATATACAACGAGTTTAAAAGATTCGGGCTTCAAACCTTCTATCATAACTTCAATAACACCGGCATATCTACAGTAAGTGTCAGTGGTTTTATTTTATCGCTTGCTTGTGATCGGGAATATTTTTGAAATATGATATTACTTATCAAGATTTTCATCCGCATTAAAATATAGTCTGGCTACTATTGAAGTTATATTTTATAATTGTACTGTGAAATTATCAAATTATAGTTTCACTGTCTATTGAAAAGCATGTAATATGTTGTTAGTATTATATTATCAAGTGAAGAACCAATTCCAACAAAAATATCAGAAGGCAATCGTCCTTGAAGGTATATTTTGTGCATTAAAGACATTAATGGGCAATAATGCGTCTTAATTCATGTTTTTGAAATAAACGAACAAAACAAACAAACAAACAAATATCAACAAAAACGCCAAAAATGTGTGCAATAATTTTCGAATCAGTAGAGCTCACTTTTAAAGGCGTGGAAAGAAATATTTTCATGCCACATTCTACAAAACGGAATCTACAAGTCCTCACATTTAACTGCTGATAATCTTATTTTCAAAAACGGTGTTTAACTTCCTGCCCGCTCCTCTTCCAACAATCGTTTTCAGAAAACTACCGATATTATTTCATTTTCTATTTCCTTATTAAAAAGAGCGGTCTTTATTGTGATTTACTTTACTTTTGTACAATTAAACAAATAATACGTGTTGTCATTAATAACATGAAAACAAAGTTTGTTTGCTGAAAATGTCCGCCTTATCACCTCCTTTAATTAATGCTTTTCCGAAACAGTTTACTCCTGGTGGTTTTTTTTCCCTTATCTATACAGTTAAGCAAATATTATTGTGCTAAGTGATCAACATTTGATTACCGAATTTTTTTCTGAAAATCATTATTGTTTTGTATGTTATCATTTTGTAACTTATCATTTCTTATCTGTGTTCGTAAAGCCTTCAAATGTCAATAAATATTTATTGTATCATAGTTTGGGGACCTTTCTGTTGAAAATGTGCCAGAGTTAAATCTTATACATATACATGCACAGTGCGTTAAGTGGAGTGCAGGTATTAGTTACCCGCATACCAGAGCATGCCCATTGATTGGCTTTTTTTTGCTGGGGTTTACTTATTGTGGCGACAGAGAAAGGGAAAAGCGATAGAAATACCATGTTCAGATGCTCGTTCATTGGTTACTTTTTTCTGGGGATTTATATTGTGACAACAGGGAACGTGTTTTTATGTTTGACTATGATACAAAAGAGAAAGAACATCAAAAACACTCGGCAATCCGACTAATACTCGGGGCTACGCCCCTCGTACAAATCAGATAGCCTCGTCTTTCGATGCTCTTTCTATTACTTATTAAGAAGGTCTTCAACATTATTTATATGATATATTATAAACAGGCCTTTACACTTAAAGCTGCTTTAATAATGAAATCAAACTCCAGGATTCTTAATTGATTATGAATATTAAGGAGTAAAAAAGCAAAATAACAACCGATTCCACTGTAAACAATTTAAATCATGCGTATTAAACGATCTAGCAGAAATTAGATAATACTATTCATTTCAGGTACCTTTTGCAAATGTCGTTGGTATTCTAAAGGGCACGAACTTTGGAAAGGTAAATGATAAGATTATCGGACTTGGTGCTCACTATAACACTGTGCAACATACGAAAGGTAATAATCATATTTTATATAAATTTGCATTGTCGATTGATATTCTCTATTTAAACCTTTCCCCTTAAGAAATATGAACCTATATGAGAAATATATTCATATAGTACATTTGGCTGAAAGATATCCTTATTATTGTTCATAGAAATAAATGATTGTTTGTATAAACTAATTATTGAATGGATAAAACTACATTTTTACACGTTTGTTTGTTATGTACCAGCTATTGTGAAGTCTTTCCCTATATCCGAAATAAAAATGTAGAGCTGGCAGCATGAGAGGGCTTACCATTTACTTTTTTGTCTGTATGGAAGGGGCAAAAATGCAATAATTGAAGTCAATGCTGTATTTCAAGTATGGGACATAGTTACAATTAAAGATGCTGTTCACATAAAATTTAAAACGTTGCCTGGTCGTTACTTTGTTTTATTCACAGGAGTTGATGATAACGGTGCCGGTGTAGCAGCCATGTTGGAAGTTGCTAAGCAACTGACAGGCCAAAACAAACAAGGAGTGACGCGCAAAAACACAATTATATTTGTGTCTTTCGACCTAGAGGAAGAACGTAAAATAAGCTGAACGTTTTTTGAATAGAAAATGTTTTGTTCCCTATATTCACTGTTTATGAATATTCAAAAATATGAATGTATAGCAAAAATAATTTATAATAATGCCTAGCAACAGAAGATGGGAAATAAATATGTTTTATCTCTACAGTATGTGAGAGAGTTGATTAATGTTATCTAAATATTAGTATAACAGTGCAAAATAAATGTATACATGTACATAAATGATAATCTTTGAGCTATCAAAGTACAAAAGTGCATACATTATGTTATTTTCATTAGATCTACCATGTTTCAAAAGTACTCAAAACAAAGTACGACTATAAATGAGTCCAATGTAGTGGCTATTTTTACAACTATTGTATCTTTTTGTAATTTGGTCGCATATAGTTTGTGTATATAGTAAAGCTATTTTTCTGATTTGGTACCCTGACTCCTATTCGATAAAACCGTTAACGTTGTATCTATTAAAAACATTTCTCTTATTCAATACTTAAAATATCCCCAAGCATTGATGAATTTTTATAACAGACTCCCCCTTCTTTTGATATGAATTTTTTTCTTTCTTTTTGCGAGTGTCAAAGAGTATAATCAAGCAATAACCAAAGGTGACTAGCTTTTGCAAATTGTATAATACAGTAAGGCAAACCTGCACATCGGTGACGCCTGGCACCCAGGCCCTGTACTGTTAGTAGCTCAGATATTGTATTCTGTACAGATTCTGGTGACATTGTAAGTTTTGACTGATCCGACACGGAAATAGCGGCACAGTGCGCAGCTCTATTGAATACTATTCACAGTGTATATTAGCAAGATCATTAATTAAATACGTATTTTTGACAGTAATTTTACAAAGCTTCCATATAATATCATCATGCTATACAAAAGCTGATTTCGGTTTGTTTTTACAGGTTATATAGGCAGCGAAGTTTTTATCCAGAATTGGCTGAATCCATGGCTTGACAAGAATTATGGTAACGCGGCCCGATCCTTACAACCGCATGGAATAATTATTTTAGATACTGTAATGGAGTATAATACATCCAGTAATTCTCAGAAATTACCTAATGGAGCAGCATATTTTGTAAGTTCAAGTATTATTTTCTAATTAAAAGTAGAATTGTTAGTTCCGCCACGAGAATTAGGATCACTGTAATTCACCTTTACCTCATGTCATGATTTACAACAAATTAATAAAGAAATTTCAAAATGGCGGCACCCTGCTAACTTAAGGATTTTTCTCAAACTTGTTATACTGACACATATGTTTTTTTTATTAATTGAATTTGTGATTTCGATATAACTTATACACGTATTACATGTTATCTAAGAGGGCTTCAGTCGTCGCGGGCTCGGACTTTCCGCGTATTAATATAAAAAGTGCAAACTGCTAAAGCAATTTCAACAATGTCAAATTTACATTGCTATTATGAATCTTTTGTTTTTTACTAAATAGAATGGTAACCTTTGCTTCACACTGTAAATATACAAATTACTATTTACAACTTCCAGTTTCCAAAGTCTTACGAAAGTATAGAGTCTGACAATTTCCAAGGTGATTTTCTGGCTATGATATATCGCAAAACCGTCGATGGTTCACTCGCAACATCAATGACAATGTCCTGGTCATCTGAGAAGCGTCCTCAGTTTGAAATAGAATCGTTTCCTTTACCATTTACAAATATTAGTTCCCTGAATCAGACCGTGAAGGATTCTTTTGAAAATTTCTTTCGCAGTGATCACACAAACTTCTGGCTTGACAATATACCAGCGATATTTTTGACAGATTCAGGTAAGTTATATAACTACAATGTAATTGTAAATTGAAAATGCACATGGTCACATCTATTGGAAATAAAAAATTACTTTGAACCATTATACAAAATGTTTTTGTTCGCTTATTCGTTTAACAACAAAGCTTTTAAATTCACAGACTTGCTATGTTTAGATGACTTTTAATCCTCAGCTCACTAAATATATTAAATGGATTAATGGATTTGTTCATCTTTTAATCAGGACAAGAATATTCATGACCGTACAGAAATATTCCAAATTTGTACTAGTACTAGCAAATATCAAACAGTACTGATTATGGTAAGATCACGATCTAATGGCATGTGTATGTCTGCAATGTTTACTTAAAGAAGTGAAATATACGCTAGCATAAGGCAATAAGAAGAAAGTCTTATGTACAATGTCATATTGCATGCTTTATATGAAAAAAAACCATATCAGTATCGGCATCACACTTTTTATGTTATTGTTGTGAATGCTTTCTTTGTACATCAAATTTCTGGGGATATATGGTGGAATGCTGAATTAGTGTCGCCCTTTGTTTATATTCTTGTGCAATGATTTCTTTATACAGGAAATTTCCGTGGAGATATGGTGGAATGCTGAATTAGTATTGCAATTTGTTTAAATTCTTGTGCAATGATTTCTTTATGTGGAGATATGGTGGAATGCTGAATTAGTATCGCAATTTGTTTATATTCTTGTGCAATGATTTCTTTATATTACAGGAAATTTCCGTGGAGACATGGTGAAATGTTATCACCATCCTTGTGATGATCTAGCTACGATGCTTACTGATGATAACATTAACTTCCTTGGCAAGACATCAGATGCCATTGCAAGATCAATCAATGAATTGTCAGAGCCAACCAAACCCGGTCAGTTTATTTTACTAACGAAAAAAAGAGAATTATAGTTCATACAGTGTTATCTCTATCAAAAAGCCCTCGTGGAAGCAATATATTTAATTCTTCTAAATATTCCCTACGTAATATACAAGAAACATGACTGTCACGTAAACATTTCTTTGACAACTAAACATTGATTTTGATGAATGATTTTAGTGTCATTAACGGCAGTGATCGAACAACACAGGTTATAGCAGTTATTTATGTATAATTAAACATTACATAAATGCACGCGGTATAAAAAGTCATACAAGTTGTGTACATAATGTCATCATGTTAAAGTCAAAGTTTCAGTCTCTGTCGTTACAAATGGTTACATAAAAATGAAATGTGCAAATAGTAATAATACGGGACACATGTGTATATTTTGTAAAAAAAATAAGATATTGTCGTTTGTACTAGAACATCAATTCATTTATTTTTGTTTTCATTTCAGATACAAGTGGATGCATCCGAGTTTCAGTAAGCCATGTGATTTCTGCTTTGATGGTGCTAGCCTTTTTTATTTTATAGCACGATTGTCCTGATGTGAAAAATATAAGTGATGAACTAGTTTGTCGTGCAAATGCAGCTTTTGGAGGTTTTTCGTTGAAATAACATTATTATAAATGTAAAAGAAATGATAATTTTATCTTTACTGTCTGTAAATTATGTAGATTGTTTACTAGATTTTGATTTCCAGTCTTTCGTTACACCTTCATACATTCCATTGTTCGTCATTTTGATAACGTAACACAAAAGAGTACTATCTTGTTGATAATGCCATTTTCAGTCTTTTGAGACCAACTTTTGTCATACTATATTAAGAAAACTAAAATGCGAAATAAGTAACACATATTTAATGACATAACACAAATGAGTACGGCAACTTTGTTGTGATAATGACATTCTTTAGTATTTTGTGAAAGCATCATATTTTCATCTTTCGTCATTTTTATAGCATAATACATGTGAAAAGTGTTATGCGTCGTTATGAAAATGACATAAAAATCATTTATTTACATATTTTGTGAAGTCATTTCATGTATATTTTTTCATGTATAATTTTTTCACATAATAAAATTGTATAAAAAAAGAATATTTACTAATTTCAAGTAGAAATGTAATTTCTTAAAATATTCTATTTATTACTTATGAATCAATATGAAACAATATCAAAATCGTCTGAAAAATAGGGTTAGTGATCTCCCTTATTTTTTCTTATTAGAATCGAAGAACATGTGTAATATCGGTCTCAGCGGTATTTATCTATAGAAAGCCATGGCTGTCTTATATCGTTCTTTTTCAATTAATTTAACCATGTCGATTATATATAAGTTCAACTACATATGAATTGAAAACACCTTCTTTAAGTTCTTAAACTGGAAGCCATTATATTAATCCACTTTTACAATATATGAAACTATACCGTCAGTGTATGGAATCAAGGTAGCAATATATAAGTTAATTTTCTCAATATATGATACCAGTTCTTCAATATATTGTAGCAAAGTAGCAATTTATCCTGTCACTTGTATCAATTTCGGCCCGATAACAAGGTGCCGTATATTTTTACTGATCTACGGCACTTGATCACGTGGTATGCATGAATGGGCACCTCTTTGCCGGACTACTTTTCAAGATTTACAGGCCGTTCCAGTGGTATGAAAAAAACTGTCGTTAAATCTTCTGCGTGTAGAATAACGAATTTTGGAAACGTTGATAAAACTTTGTTTGTTTATCTTATTTCACTCTATAATTTTTCAAGCGAAATAAAAATTATTAAAAGTGAAATAAATGTAAAACTTAACTCGTTTGCGACATTAAAATAGCGTACTTGATTTGATTGTTTTGCACGTGCTGTTTGGCGCTACATTGTGACGTCACGTAAACAATACTTTAAACGTCTGTACAGCGTTAACGACTGAATAAAAGATATTGGTGTTCGAATTCATTTTCTTAGTTAGACCATTATCTTTCATTCTAGATAGTTTTCACAACAAAATTCGACAAAAAATTGTTTTTATTTATCACATTTTTCAAAGAAAATGGCGCCCTCAATGTGAAAATACAAAGGGAGATAATAAGAACGGCGAGTGCATTGTTGTAGAATAATGCATGCTTCGGGCCTTCTTTGTTTATATAGAAACATTTCTGATCGTGTGATTAAAGGTAGTTTGCCTAATAAAATTCTTTTTAAAAAAACGGTGACAGGATAAATAGAATAATAGATTGGTGTCGTGGATGGAGAAAGTTTATCTGGCTCTGCTCCGAAATTTATTGGGTTCGCCTTCGGCTCACCCAATAAATTCTTCCGCCTCGCCAGATAAACTTTCTCCATCCACGGCACCAACCTATTATTCTCTATGTATGGAACCAGATATCCTTATATGTAACCGAATTATCAATATATTAATTCATTCTACAATATATGAAACCAATTTATCAATGCATGAAACCGAAGTAGCAATATAGAAGTTCGTTATCACATTATATTATACCAATTCTTCAATATATGGTACCAAAGTAGCCATATATGGATCCAGATATCTTTATATATTAATTCATTTTTACAATACAACTGTATATGAAACCATTTTATCGATGTATTGATCCAAAGTATCAATATATAAGTTGATTATAACCATTAATGCACATATAACCTTGGTTTTTATCATATGTTTTAAAATTATTTTATATATTTCTCAGAAATGATGACTTCCCTAAATATTATACGGTTATTTAATTCTGTAAAACTATGCCTTCTCTTTTAGCTACAAAATATGGTATTTTTTTATTCCGCAAAAAATTAGCTATTGTTTTTTTCCACGGAATATTTTCAAATTTTAGGCAGGCAAAAATTATTAAGGACGTCACTTGGTGTTTCTCTTTGGCTCGATCTCCCCCTTCATAATAATATGATAATTATGTAACAGTTCGAAGTTCGAGTCTATATAAAAGAAACTTATTGTCTCTTACTGAACACTCCAATTCAATCTTATTTTCACTGCCGGTATTTCTGGACATTTTGTTACTGGACATTTTGTAACTGAACATTTTGTTAAATTGTAAGACGGAAAGTTAAATCTCTATTTACGAGCTTAAAGTGTATAGGCCTATACACGGCATGATTATATTCTTATAAATCACATATTACCGCGCACGAGCCTATGTTCTCTCATTTGTGAGGGAGTTCATTTGAACACTGTGGTTACAAGCAAACCAATGCTGAACATATAGTGAATCAGTTCCCCATTCTATATATTTCTTGTCAGATTTGCATGATAATGTAGTATTTGTGTGCAATTTCTAACTTAGGTTTGTGTTGTGAAAGTTACGAAACTTCACGAAAAGTTTTAGCGCACGAACGAAGTTTTAGCGCACCAACTTCGCGCCCGAAATAAGAAGGGTAACATATTATTGTATACCATCGGACTTGGTCAATTTAATTTTTTTTCAAATAGACTTGATATTAACTTATGGACATAATAAAGACAACCACAGAATTATGTAAGTTCAACATTAGCGAAGAACCATTTCTTTCTAGCTTGTTATACCGTTTCCCTACGAGGTGTTGCGGTATTCAAGATACGCGCGCTTGGGTGATAAGCTATCTAAGCATTTTATTGCCCTTCTTCTCTTAGAATTAATATAAAATATGACAGATTATCATGATAATTATATAAATCTTTTGTATCTTAAGATTTATAAAGAGGTTAATGGTATTTAACTTCAAATTTTAAAATTGGCGATTATTTTAAATAATTGGTTTGATAGGAAATTGCCTTTTTACTTTAATTCATATTAAGATAAGCTTGATGTTTAGCTTCAATGTTAATTTACAACACCAGAGAACATACGGCAATATAGGCATGTATCACTACATTAACACGACTCATACCTGTGTTAACCAGCCTGTTGCTCGAACTTTTTCTATTATAACAGCCTCCTCAGATTGTCTCTGATAAAGCCAAGATCTTTTTGAATTAAAGTCATCACAACAATGTTAAAATTCTGACTGATTTTGACATAACAACACTTAAAATTTGCAAATTATAACTCCACGGAGTATTAGTCTATGTTTCCTACATAATTATACTAAAACTGTCCGTTTTTTGTACAATTTCAAAATGACAGAGGTAGCACATTGATAGTGGGACGTGCAACAATATCATCGTTCATTAACATATGTAACAGGGCCAGTAATTAGGTATTTTGTAAATTGTCAGAGTTGTTTCCCTTGGACCTTTAGGAAACGCGAGTTAAGCATGAATTCAACAAAACAATCTTTCTGACAGGATATTTGGGCTTGTAATATGCATTAATTGAGACAATGTTTTCCATATTTGGGCAGTTTGACCAAGTATTTTATTCCAGATGGCAGCTTAAGCTAGCAATCATACAAACAATCTATCTGACTTTCAGGATATTTGGGTGAAATACTACTTCTCAAGTGTTACCAGGACATGTTCATATTTTTCAAACTTGAGCTAGCAATCATCAAAACAATCTTCTGATAAATTTCCAAGATATTTTGGCTGCTAATGTGCCCTGTTCTGTAAGGTTTTTTTTTCATATTTGGGATTTGTGACCTAGTTTTAAACCCGTAACCCCAGATGGCGTATATTTCAACTTTAGCTAGCAATCATCAAAACAATCTTTCTGACATATTTCCAGGTTATATTGGCTAACAATGTGCAATACTCTGTTTACAAGGTTTTCCATATTTTGGCTTTGTGACTTAGTTTTTCACCCCCAGATGACCCATTTTTGAACTTGCCTAGCAATCATCTAAACAATCTTTCTGACAAAATTTCCAGAATATGTGGGCTGCTAATGTGCACTGTTCTGTTTACAAGATTTTCAATATTTTGGCTTTGTAACCTTGTTTTTCACTCCCTCCCCCCGATGACACATTTTGAACTTTAGCTAGCAATCATTAAAATCTTTCTGAACAATTTCCAGGATATTTGGGCTGATAATGTTTACTGTTCTGTTACAACGTTATTAATATTTTGGCTTTGCAACCTTTTTTTTCACTCCCTACCCAATATGACACATTTTTAAACAACTGTAGCTAGCAATCATTAAAATAATCTTCTGACACATTTCCATGATAGTTGGGCTGATAATGTGCACTGTTCTGTTTACAAGGTTTTCCATATTTGAACTTTGTGACATAGTTGTTCAACCCCAGATAATCCATTTTCGAACTTTAGCTAGCAATCATCAAAGCAGTCTTTGTGACAAATTTTCAGGATATTTGGGCTAATAATGTGCACTGTTCTGTTCACAAGTTTTTCCATATTTTGGCATTGTGACCTAGTTTTAAACTTGTGACCACAGATTGCCCATATTTCAACTTGAGCTAGCATTGATCAAAACAATATTTCTGACATAATTTCAGGATAATTGAGCTGATAATGTGCACGTTCCTGTTTACAAAGTTTTCTATATTTGGACTTGGTGACCTTGTTTTACAGCCCAGATGACCAATATCTGAACTTAAGCTATCAATTACCAAAACAATGTTTAAAACATATTTCCAGGATATTTGAGCTGATAATGTGTCCTGTTTTGTTTACAAGGTTTTCTGTGGGCTTTATGAGCTAGCTTTTTACCCCCAGATGATCCATTTTTGAACTTTAGCTAGCAATCACCAAAACAATCTTTCTGACAATTTTCCAGGATATTTGGGCTGATAATGTGTTCTGCTTACAACGTTTTTCAAATTTGGCTTTGTGACCTAGTTTTTCACCATCCGATGATCAAGTTTTGAACTTAAGCTAGCAATCATCAAAACAAACTTTCTAACAAATTTCCATGATATTTGGGCTGATGTGCATTTTTTCGTTAACAACGTTTTCCATTTTTGGACTGTTTGACCTAGTTTTTCATTCCAGATGACCCATATTTGAACTTGAGCTAGCAATCACCAAAACAATCTTTCTGACAAAATTTCCAGGATATCACGGCTTGAAATTTGCAATGTTTTGTTAACAACGTTTCCCATATTTGGACTCTGTGACCTACTATTTCACCCAAGATGACAGATGTTCTTAGCTGAGCTAGAAATCATCAAAATCATTCTGACAAATTCCAAGAATATTTTGGCTTGAAATAAGCCTTGTTTGTTAACAAAGTTTTCCATATATGGGCTTTGTGATCTAGTTTGACAAATACAGTGTTACCGAAATATGTATAGACTGACAACAGACAATTTTATTTATCCTAATAATAAAAGAACATCGTAATCTAGTATTCCACTTTTGATTTTTCAATTTATAGTCCTCCTGTAATAGTTTGTTTTAATAGTATTAAACACACGTCCTCCTGGAAAAAATATAAAAACACAAAAATTACATAAGGATCATTTTATTATATAAAGTTTTACAATATATGAATACATAAGGACGATTCTACAGCTGGAGGAAAGCAACACTCTAACCTAAGAATTTAACATCAGCTGCCAGTATAGACCCGTCATGGTTTAGAATAGTTCACTAATTAGTGGAGAGATTGAGTAAGTGACCAGATAGCTCAGTCAGTAGAGCAAAGATACTGTATTTTAAGGATCCTGGGTTAGAATCCTGGTCAGGCTGCACATTATTTTCATCCTGTGACAGACCAAATATATAAAATATCTAGCTCCAGGGTGTTTAAACTGTTTATGGAAGTTACAAACTTCTTAACAATTAACCCAAATCTTGATATTTCTATCAGTGAAAACAGAATTTTGATTTTTTCTTCATATAAAATAAAGACAATTAATTTTCTAAAAGCCAAATTTCTGGAAAAAAATTCATATCTAGCATTTTTTCATGTCATTGCCTGTAAACTTACAAATGAATGACATCATCATAAACAATAATAAAAGGCACTAGAATGAAGTCATTTTAACACATGACATTAATTGTGACTCATCTACCATGGTGGTTGTCACTAAATATAATGTTTTTCAGCATCATCATTATGTTATAATGGACAAAATTCAACTTAGAAGTATGTCAGTCAGACATAACAAAAATATGTTGTGGACACATTTATTCTACTTAAATTTTGAACAATTTATGTAATAAAATCATATTAAAATGTTATAAATTGATATCATATATTCACACATAACATCCAATCCAATCCAGTCTGTTTGTCCACACTAGGGTTGAAATAAGGACTTTTCTGGGGAAATAAAAGAATTTTGCACAATGTTTTATTTTTGCATGGAAATGCTATTAAATATCTACTTTAAAATCTGTCACATCACACAATATTTTACATATTTGGCATTAATTAAAAGTATTATACAAATGTAGTTCAATTAGAGCTATCACACCAAGTCTGCCAATCAAATGTTAAGTTGTTATGGAGACATTATAAAGAAAACAATAATAATAAATCATTTCAATATTTCAAAATAGCATTTTTTAAGGAAAATTCTAAGTTCAAGGGGAGATAAATCTTAATATACTGATGCAAGAGTTATGAACCTTGTCACATAAGATGTGGTTGAGATAGGGTACATATATTTGAAGTTTGAAGTTGATACCTTAAGAAATAGAAAAAGTTATAGTGAAAAATATTTTACTGCACCAAAACTTTAATCTGAAATGGAATTGGACGCGGACGTCGGGGCGAGTAGGACAGCTCTCCATATACTTCGTATAGTCGAGCTAAAAATGGAAGAAGGAAGACATGCATAATTTTCATACTGCAATCGTTCCATATTTTAAGTTTCATATAAAAATATTTCAGCACTTTTCGCTTTATCACTTGGTCCAGTTTTGTGGATGGATGGACGGACGGAAGGCAAATCTACATTTCCCTCCTTTTAACTGGTAGAAACAGATAGGGCAGTCAAGAGCATTATTAGACGATAAATCGAGGGCTTAATGCAATAAGGGTGTAACTACTTTTTTTTTCCAAAAATGGTTTTATATCACTTCTGACATTATTCTATTCGTAATAGATATACCATTGCTGCGTTGACGATTTCTGGGTTTGCGTAAATTATACCATAATCACGTGACCTTTCTTATGCCTTAACCTCACGAGACGACGAAGTCTCGTGAGGTTAAGGCATAAGAAAGGTCACGTGATTATGGTATAATTTACGCAAACCCAGAAATCGTCAACGCACCAATGGTGTATCTGTTTTAACCTATAGCTCCGCCCAGAAACACTTACTCCTTCGATCTTCAAAACTGAAAATTATACCATAGTCTGGGTATGGTATAATTTACGGTTATTGGAAATTATACTTGGAAGAATTTTACATAAGAAGCGCTGAAGAGCTATAGGTTAAATTAAGTCTAACTAATGAAGTTTGAACAAAGAATTTTATCAATTTATATCTACTTTTTGATAACGCTATAAGGGCCTATCTCAAAGTGACTTATTCCTGTATGAAATTTTTCAGCTGTTAAATAGACGGAATATTTTTAATTTTACGCCAGTACAGAAGAAAATACGCCCTATGCTTTTTCTAATATTATAGAATAAATTACGCCTGGTATAATAAGCAGATAGGGGGAAGTTTGTTGAGCGAGCTAAGAATTGTTAAGCTTCATGAGATTGGTGACTTGCTGAATGTCGCGAAAGATGGTTTTCATTCTGAAAAGGAGATTGAGACAATGTTCAAGGCGATGGGTCACGTCCAAGACGAGAAGAACAAGAAGTTTTATGCTCGCTTTAAATCAGATGATGGAAATGTTCCTGTAGATAGTCTGGCGAGCTACTGGATGCATTATCTAACAAGTGAAGATAGCTAATTTCTGGATCTGGCTCTACAGGCAATCGAAGATGGTTTGTAAAAACATGCGTTACAAATTGCAATATTGGGAATTTTTGTTAGCACATTTACCTTATCAATGTGGCATTTACACATACAAGTACAGGTTCGTCGTCTTGAAAATGCTACTGCATTTGTTAAATAAAAGCATCTAGTTTTTTTGTTCAAAACCATTCTAAACGCAAAAACTTGAAAAAAATGCACATTCTTATATTTTTTTAAAAAAATCCATAAGTACGCACGAGAATGTTAGCAGATATCTTAAAGACTGCACATGTGATTGAAGAGCTTATCTTCGCCGGAAGTGACGCACCTAAAAATAACTATAATTTTATATTTATAGCTTTCACTTACATTACTTGTCCTATGTAATAAAAGATGAAATAAAAATAAATTAATTCATTTGTCTTTCTTTAAAGATGATGTGTTTTTTCCTGTAATATCTACAAGCGTGGAAAGAGCATACATTAAATAACCTCACAGGCTGCTGATAATCGCTATCTCGATACTATTTTTAGTAACAATGACCTTTTCATTGACCCTAAATAACCTGCAGTTATAACTGCATTATCTTAAACATATCTTACATATCTCATATGTCTTTATAAATGACGTATTATTTTATAAAGGTAATCTGCCTTATAACCTTAAGATCTGGGTTTAGTGTTATAGAAATTACCATCTAAATACAACGTTTTCACGGTTCTTAATTTCCTTGACCTTTTACATGGCTTTAATTCCTTTAAGCTTTGCATTTCTAGTAGTTTAATGAAGTCTTATACCAATGATAACATATACTTCAAATACGGTTGATAATACGAAAGTGTGATACAAATTAACGGCAGCTTGAAGTACCTAGACGTACTGTTCGCATCTTTAAAAATAACGGATGGCTTTGTCAAGATTGAAAGATGGACAAATTAACAACTCCAGATCCATGCTAATTTTCAAGATAAAATTGAAAATGTGTTTAAAAGTAAAATATTATGAAGTAGCTAGATGTAAGCAATGTGCACATACAACTCACGTAGGTTACCAAAAAAAGAGGTCAAATTATGCAAAAATGGCCCTGACTGCGTTAGAAAGGCAGAGAAATATAGTTATAAATACTGTAAAATTAGTCATAAATCGTAGATATCATGTTTATTATTACATGAATCTTGATTTTTTTTAGTCTACTTTTCCTGAATCTTACATTTTACTTAAGTTTGATGTAACCGAAGTATTTTGGCTTATCTTGGGGCATGAAGTAGAAGATATTTAGTATTGTAAAGATAAATTAAAGTTATAATTATTCAATATTTCTTAACTTGCTTAGATCTACATGTATTATATCAGATTATTTGTTGTCTTATCGTATTTCTCGAATTCGATGTACTCATTTGTTTGGGACAAACATATTAACACCAAGAATTGTACATATTTTGTGCATGAAAATATATCTCAATAAAAAAATACATCCTTCTAACTAAATCTGGAGAATTTAATGAAAATGCAAATGCAGAAGCTAACATGTCTATCTCCCTTCGTCGACTGAACTGGCATTCTCTTTGAAGATTTAGGGGCGAAATCTGTAGTTGAAGATATAATTGTTCCGGCTTTTTCACAAACTACAAATTCAACGAGACCGTTTTTCGGTTATCCGGAATATGATATCTAAAGACCATATTAAACTTGCTTTCTTTTTCATATCAAACATGCAACCTTTTCCTTTAATTGTGTCATCGATTTCACCTCAACATATATTACACCATGACAGATAAAGTTTATTATCAAATATTATCACTTGGTGATAACTTACATGTATTCCTTGCCTTACATGTCATAATTATTGAAGCTGGAAGTCACTCTTACATAAGGTAAATCTTCTCAATTACTTTTTTTTTGTCTTTTTTCCTTTAATTTTAATTATACATAAGCAAATACCTTTTATAAGATAACTTCTGGCTTAGAGTTAACCTTAAAATCACTGTAACTTTAAGTATTATGGTGTCTGATTTGTGCCAGTCGTGCTTTCGGCACGCGACCCCACCAAGCGAAAAATCGAGAATTAACAAGTTTGAATAGCGGGTGCGCGGAGCAAAAACACGAATGACACAAATCAGTACCATAAAAAATATCGTCATTTCCCATAGGGACAGGATTCATTTTAGTTTCTATAGTAACTAAATTTCGGGATACGGTTTGATTTAACTAAAGGCCATGTGATAGAGTTCATAAAATTCTGTAGGTTCCGTCAAAGCTGTTTTATTTAAACATATTTTCTTTGAATATCTAATGCTAAGGTCCCTACTTATAATTCGCACGTATTATAGGAGAAAGTAGTTGTGGCATTAATTGAATAGATCTATGTCTCATATTTAATATGTAACTTCAATTGACATGAATCTTGAAATAATAAAACCCTAGGATAAAATGAACTGCTCCGAGCAAGTTCTTATCAGCGGAATAGATAAAACGAAATCCATAAAGAACGCTTGAAATGACAAAATAGAAATTTTTGCAGGCTCGTTTTGATCGAGCTTGTTCATGGACGGTAACAGAAAGGGCAAGTTTCCATTCACTTCCCTTAGCATCGACTTAAGCAAAATTCAACATTTGAACACAAAAATAGTGAAGGTTTGAATATAAAACATCCGCAGATGTGTTCGGAACCTTCAATGAGACACTTCCGTGCCATTCCATGACAAATGGCATATGGCCCACAAGTAAAAGAATGATTGTATAAATGCCCTTAACGAGAAAATAAAGGGCGGAATTCAACGAAATGGAATTTTGAAAGGGGATCAGAGGTTATATGATGTCTGCATATTAAAGGTTAGACGTCAAAAAAACAAACTTAAAAAGCAGGCACTATGTCCTGAGGGTGATTATACAGTATTCAAGTGAGTAATAATGCCGTTGAAAGCGGTCAACCTTCACAAACATATTCATGTCTTTTAAACTTGTTAAATCTGATGAAAGGGATATTTCCCGTAAAACAACAACAACAGTAACATCAGCAACAACAATATAAGCAAAAGATGCCCAAAATGTTTAAGTCAACTTTTTAAACTGGTAAGGAATTCATTTTGTGTACATTTATACGAACTATTTTAATTTTTATTACAGAAGATGGATTATCTTGTATATAAATGGAAGCTATGGTACACGTGGTTTGATATCAATAAAGACGGTAAAGTCGACTTTGCAGATGCCGAACAGGAAAGGTTACATAAACGTCCATATCTTACCTATAGATAAAAAATAAATAATTAAGATATGAAGTACTGGGTATATGTATAGCTTTTTTCCCCGATTTAGTAATTTATTTTGTTATACATCATGCAAACTTTTTGTAGCCTAGCTAATATGCTGTTTCGATATTTCCCAGGGGCGAGTAATCTGTATAGACTTAATGCCAACACTATAAAGTGTTGAGAATTGAGTACCGCTCAAGCCGGTGCTAGGGGGCGTGAGGGATGTTGCACTTATTCATTATCCCTCATGTACAGACTCAATCAAACCGAGTCTGCAATTCTTATGTTATTTTGTTAAAATTAATGCTTCCGAGGGATCACTTTGTTTCCAGAATTAAGAAAATGTAATGTTCTAGTTCTCTTCCCTGGCATAGCATTAAACTGTTGGTTCTGTACAACGAAAAAAAAACAACATGTCTCTCAAAATAATAGTGCATATTAGAAACCCTTGAACTGAAAACAAAAATTATTTCAATTCTCGGGTTGCTTAAATGCACTTTTATTCTGAGAGGCATGTGTTATTTTTGCAATGTAAATTTGAAATCAAAATAGGATTTGTGTGTCTGTTTTATCATCTTTTTATTTATTTATTCATTTTTATTATTATAATTATTATTATTATTATTATTATGATTATTATTGCCTTTGCTTTACATTAGATACAGTATCAATTACGGTGTTATGTATAACACTATATCATAGGTTCACAGACAAAATATCAAAGAGTGAGCTTTATTCTAATATATGCGCTAAATTCACGTACGAAAAAAGTTAGCCTTGTTTTCATAAAAATATTAGAATGAAATACGTATATAAAAATACTATTACTAAAGCTTGGGATGTATTTCAATAGCAGAAATGCACGTACAAAAGCACTACAGCGTGGTATGTATTTCTATATTATGGAGAAATTCATATAACAAATATGAAATTGTGGACTATATTCAAATATCATTCAAAAATCCATTAACTTCACTTACTAAAAATGGATTTAATTCTAATTAGCATGAAAAAAATCGCAAACAAATAGAGCTATTTATACGAAGTGGCAGGATGTGAAGTAGTTATACACTTGATTCAATCGTGCCATAAACGTTGGCTTAAGGAATGGGCATATTACAGAATTTCAAATTAACATGCAAACCCTCTTACCTCTAGAAAATACTTGTGTCGGCGTTGTAAATATTCATGACTCGGTAGCCATTTTGTCAAGTTTGCAACCAATTCTCTCGCTTGAACCAAGTATGCAACCACTTCACCTCCTGCCCCTTGTTATACCAGAGCGTTTATGTTATTCAAATATCAGTGAGAAATGCACAAGTCATGTAAAAATAAAACTCTGGGCTTTATTTCAGTAGAATAATGAAGCTATTGACATTAGACTTTTGATTAGAGATACAATATTATAAATATAAGTTCGTCATTACATTACTCTCAAATTGTATATAAAGGCAACTCTTTGGAATTTTGTTTATCACATAAACATCCTTTTTTAGAAAGCTTACTGTCAAGAGCTTGTTTTCATTGACCAGATTGCATAAAATTACACTGAAACGGTTGATTGTAAGAAAAAGATTTGTTGAATTGTATTAACTAGTTTTTTCAGTGTGTATCTTATTTCTAAACATTACACTTTTTAATAATTTTCTCCTCACAAATAGGTCAAAGTTCAGTAAACTACATCATCTAAGTGACGACGAGAAGAAGACCGTGATGGACCAGTTTGGTAAATGGTGGAGTGAATACGTCCTCTGGGGAAAATCTGAGATGACCGAGTCTGATTTCATAGAGCTAATGAGCAACGCCTGGAAGTCGGATAAACAGAAGTTTGTTGAGAGGATGCAGACGTGCATGGATATGATTTGTAACATTGTTGATACAAACAAAGACGGAGATATCTCTCTGGAAGAATTCAACATTATTATGAAGTCGGCAGGGCATAACGACAAATCGCTGGACGAAAAGTTCTTCGAGAACTATCACCCAGTTGATGGTAAAGTTCCTATAAAGGTGATCTCTGATTCGTGGGTACATTTTGTAACGTGCGAGGACAGCGAAAAGCCTGATATAGTAAAAGTCGCGTTTGAATTCGGAGTGTAATAGACTTGAAAATCCGATCACTTATTTTCTTTATGTTAAAGTGCCCATAAATCTGTAATTGATGCTTAACTCAGTGAGTTAAAGATACTTTTAATTAAATGTACTTTTAAAATCTTATTGTTTGTTAATACATAAGACCGTTATGATATTTGCAGAAACACTATATTCGTTTTATAAATGATGTTCGAGGAATAAAATATTTTCGCCTGACTTAATTCATTTTTGTTACCATTTCAACCTCCGAATGTCCATTTTGATATTCTTAAATGATGCAAATAGGAAAGTAACTTGATTTATTCATTTTAATCGCCGATCTTTTTATTAATTTTAATCGCCGATTTTTTTATTAATTTTAATCGCCGATTTTAAGTTGTAAAACTAGAGGTTACCCAGGAATCAATATAAATGGGACCAACATGGGTTCTTTATCAGCCCTATGTAGGCAATCCATGCAGCCCTGCACGGAGAGTGCAACCGGGACCTATCTGGGTCCTATATGGGGAGCCTATAAATAATTTATTTTTGTATTTTGCAAAACTTAATGTAGTATAATGTGTTTAGGGGAAGTAAATTCGCTAAATTAAAACCAAAAAAAAAAAAAAATGAAAAATAGAAAAATTATTGAATTCTGCTAATTCTCACTCATGATATCATGTAATGGGGGTTGGATCATGTCTGAACAGATTTATGTGAGTTAGTCGAATACCCTTTGATCTCTAAGTATGGTGTTAAATTGTTGTATATTATTTATAACAAACACAGCAGTAAATTTGACATTTCATATATTTTTTTGAATAAATATCAACAAAGAATGAATTTGAATGTAAAATAATTATATACTAAAACAAAAGCTATTTACAGAAGCACTTGAACAAAATTTTAAAGCCTGCAAGCAAACGAGGTATCGCGAGTGTTTTGCACATTATACCAGACAAGATTTTTACAAGAATTTGTCAGATCTTAGATTCCTCACAGAAGAGTAATGCAGATACAGCAACAGATTATGAATTTAACTTCTTGATATGGTTAACAAAATTCTAACATCGTTCCCATTATATCCTTATTGAATAAAGACAAAGCTTTAAATTGGATAAATAAATCATACATTCACCCTTGTTAACCTTTTACATGCTGGAACAGGGATGATCCCTTTGCCGTTGCCACCAATATAGGGCAAGGCCAAACATTTCACAGTGATTTGTTGGGCTACGCTCTGTGTAGCGAAGCAACGTGGGGGTCAATGCGTCGGAGTTTGGAGCAAATGCAGCCTGGTCAGACTGTATACTCAACTTTTGTATTATGACACTGAAATCCCTTCAAATTCGAACAGACTGTTCCAGATTTAATGCAGGCAGGTTACTGGTCAAGAGCAGAATTTTGTCATGTCGTATGACATCACATAATATGACGCCATTAAAAAAATGAAGGCATACATAAATCACTTGCTGCACTAAAACAGTAGAAAGCTTCTTAACATCTTATGCCATTATAATAATTGAATAAATCAAAGTGCATGAATAAAACCTATACTATATACTAGTACTAAAAAAATCCCAAAAAGAATAATTAGCTAATCTTATGTATATAATTAACTAATCTTATGTATATTACTGCAATTAAAAAATTAATTTACAAGATTTACGTTTTCTTGCTCATCTGCCTTTAAACTGGATGCCTACAGATGAGGAAAAAACTGGTGAGAAGGATAGCACTACCTATAAATTGTACAATAAAATATCTACATATTATACATGTATATAATCTAACTAGAACAGAAATTACCACGACTTAAATATGCTAAATGGAAGTTAAGTACTCATGGTATGCATAGGTTAGTGTTTGTTAGTTATCGTTAATAAAATTATAATCTGTCTGGACTCGCACATCCGGGGACAGATTTTAGGGAAACAATGCTCACTTAACAAACACTAACCTACTTAGTGGTTGAAATTATATTTTCATTCTTTACACAGCACAAGTTTCATCTAACCTATTCACTTTAAGTGGTTAAATTTATGTTTTGAATCTTTACACGGTACCAGTAGGCTATGACACACTGTTTTAACTGGATATTATTATTTGACAAACTGCTGCTGATTTTATAAAAAAATAATAAAACAATTGGATAAAATCGAAACATTTCATTGGACAAAATATAATTCCAACCACTTAATGACATAATGACAATTGAGATGTAAATTTAGGAAATGTAATGTAACCCTGAAAAGTTGTATATTACCAGCAATGAACATAAAAATAGCATTTTATTTACATGTATTTGAGAAAAAAAACCAGAAGGTCTTTTTATGTTACAGTATCATCAGCAAGCAGAACTTACTAACTAACATATCATTAATATAACAAAATTTGTTTTTTATTCACAATAGTTCTCACAATGTGCAAGAGTTTAATTTAAAACTGGTCAATATGAAAAGTATGTAAGACTGTACACTCATTATGTAATTGAGGAGAGTTCAAACAAAATATGTCTGTGTTATTAAAGACACATGGTTATTTGGTAAACTAAAATTTTCCCTTAACATTGTACATAATTAAACACAGGTTTTTTTAGGGAGTGTAACAATGATTTTGCAATGCGTAACCAGCTTTAAGGTAAATTAACAAAGTTTAGTTACAAGTACATGTACGTAATAAAGTATTCAACCAATAGCAAACAGTCCAAAATAGCTTTTACAATTAAACCTTTACTTCACTAAGTATCTTAAATTGACTTGTACAATTTCCAATCTGAACAAAACCATGGAAAAAATTCAAAACATTAAACAAGAATGAAAACTACCAAAATAATCATAAAAGGGTAATTAATTATTACTTATCAAACAAGACACTGTTTTAAATAAAAGTCAACATATTATGTTTGACATGCATTTTGTTTCATTATAATTCATCATAATTCATTAAACCTACATTGTTAACTCCAGTAATGATCTAAATATAGTCAAAACAATATGTCAAATGCGTACCAATACCCTGCGGTCTGGAGACCACAGGGAATAAATGAAAGGGAGATAATTCAATTAAAAATTCTTTTCCTTTGCCAGTTACCATCCTTGAAGATGAGATTCCCTGGTCAGTTACCATCCTTTGAGATGAGAGTTTGTAATTCAATTTTCAATTTTACATAAAGCTTGTTCTTTCATCATATAACAACCTACTAAAGCTATCACTACATTTATCCTTTTTGGGATATTTCAATGCTCTGAAGCCCATGTATATGTTGGTAAATTTTTATCTATATTCACAACACCACTGTACAAGACCTCCAGTCCTCTGTGAATAATTAAAGGGCCCCTGGTGGACACCTATGTACCAGCTTGAAAAATTCCTCATAATCATGACCAGATATTTTACCACACATGGGATGTGAACCAACAGAGGTGAGTGGTAAGTGATTCAGTCTGAGTCAGTGACATTAGCTACCCTGCCATTGAGACCATGGCCAACCATATGCTCAAAGATCTGATACCTTGGATTTCTAACAAGGCCAGTCAATAAACACCTACACAACTAAGAATTTTCATGTTTATACGGAACACAGTAAATGACAATTTCTAATTCAGATCACTAGCTACATCAGGTCAAAGGTCAGTCAGTTAAAACATATATTCATAACAAACAATATACAATAAGGTACAGAAGGTAAAATTTTGAAAATATTAAACAGTGCATATTTGCATATAGTTGCCCCAAAATGTTATAATATCAGTTGAAATGTGTCAGAAATTGAACTGACATGCGAAGAAAAAGTTCTCTTTCAACATACATGCTTAAGTTTATTGCATTAAAACATTAAAACAACATTTTGAGCTTTTTAGTGTGACAATAACAAAAAGTAATGTATACCAAACGCCTTTGTTTTAATTACACTAACAGTTTAACATTCAATTATACTAACACTTTAACAAGTTATTATTTAAACAATAAAATAATATAAACATCTTTAGTGTTGTCATGTAAGTTTCTTTTTACTTATCACATGTATCATATCTTGAAGGAATTATTATGTAACAAACAGGATGTCTGTCATAAGCAATAGATGCTTGATATCTATTTGCTATACACATGTATATATTTCAGATATTAATTAATATTGACATGACTTCACCTAAAGAAGACCTGTACAACCTGTCATAAATACAAGAAATTCTATGTTCACACTACTCAGTTATAAAATGTCATCTGATTTGTGTAACAGTGAAAGGAACTGAGGAGTTTAGATCAAGGAAGAACGGTCCTTCTTCAAGTGGACGGAATGTACACGGCGAGATGTTGTATATACCACCAGAGATCTTGTCCAGTTGTAACACTACATATCCTCGTCTGAAAAATGAAGAAAAAAAATCTGAAAACAAAGGTATCCCTTGGAAGCATTAATAACAACAAAATTGCATGAAAATTGAAGGCTCGGTTTGATTGAGTTTTTACATGAAGGATAATGAACAAGAGGGCCATGATGGCCCTGAAGTCGCTCACCTGTATATAGGCCCCCAGAGCGGGGCCAGTTTAAACCCCAGGGCTTTTATTTGAACAAACTTGGTAGACACCCATTAGAAGATGTTTCATGCTAAACATCTAAAGTCTAGCTAGTTGAGTTTTATAAAAGAGATTTTTTAAGTTTTTACTACACACATATAGTTAAAAGCAATGGCAACACTGGGGCGGGGCCAGTTTTGCCCCAAGGCTTTTATTTGAACAAACTTTGCAGATACTCACTAGAAGATGTTTCATGATTAATATCTAAACTCTAGCTATTTTGGTTTTTTCAAAGAAGATTTTTTAAGTTTTTGCTATACACATAAATAAAATCAATGACCCCCAGGGCGGGGCCAATTTTGACCCCAGGGCTTTTATTTGAACAAAATTTGTAGACACTCACTAGAAGATGTTTCATGCTTCATCTAAACTCTAGCTATTTGGGTTTTTTCAAAGAAGATTTTTTTTTAGTTTTTGCTATACACATATAAGGAAAATCAATGACCCCTTGGGCGGGGCCAATTTTGACCCCAGGGCTCTTATTTGAACAAATTTGGTAGACACCCATTAGAACATGTTTCATGCTAAATATCTTAGCTTTAGCTCTTTGGGTTCTTTAAAAGAAGATTTTTTAAGTTTTTACTATATGCATATAGGGAAAATCAATGACCCCCTGGGGCGTGGGCCAATTTTGACCCCAGGGCTTTTATTTGAACAAACTTGGTAGACACCCATTAGAAGATGTTTCATGCTAAACATCTTAGCTCCAGCTCTTTGGGTTCTTTAAAAGAAGATTTTTTAAGTTTTCACTATATGCATATAGGGAAAATCAATGACCCCCGGGGCGGGGCCAATTTTGACCCCAGGGCTTTTATTTGTTCAAACTTGATAGACACTCACTAGAAGATGTTTCATGCCAAATATCCAAGCTCTACCTCTTTGGGTTTTTTAAAATAAGATATTTCCAGTTTTTTTCTTTTGGTTGCCATGGAATTAAATTCTTTGAACAATTATTAAAGGTGACCACCAAAAGAACATTCCTGTAAAGTTTGGATGAAATTGGCTTAGTGGTTTATGTAGAGATGTCATTTAAAGTAAAAGTTTACGGACAACGGACGGACGATGGACGTACGACTGACGGACGGACGCCGGACGAAAAGCGATCACAAAAGCTCACCCTGTCACATTGTGACAGGTGAGCTAAAAAGTGCAACATCCCTCATGCCCCCTAGCACCGGCTTGGGCATTTACTTTATAGTGCTGGCATCAATGATCCAAAAGGACAACACTGTCACATCATCGAAGAATCCCAGCGGTAAATTTTAAAGAAAGTTTGCAAGACTTTTTTGTCCATCTACCTTTGAGTAAAACAGTGCACTTTATGTAAAAGAGATTCCATTATGCATTTTTGTGCAAATTACTAATTAGAGCATTAATTTTTAAATAAGAAATACCAGCCCGATAACGGCATAGTCTTACTTCTTATGACATAATTTCTGAATCACTTGTTTAAACAAGACCTGTCTGAGGACAGCACACTCTACTTTTTTAACTGTTGGATAACGTAGCTAAAAGTAAAGTTTTTTTAAGTTTGAAGTTATTGACTTACACATTTTTTGAGAAATTGACGTTCAAAGCAAAAATTTAAGTAAAGAAATACATGTTTATGCAAATTTACACAAAGTTACTCATTGGCGAAATTGTTTAGCAAGATATTCCTTCACTGACCAGTTGGAAATTAGAAAACTTATAGTGATTTAGGATGGAAATCAGAAAAAAACACTTTGTTTACATTATGCTCCCTTTATGACAAATCATTTCACACACAGCATTACTTACTTCTAGCTTTTATTATCATTTTAAATCCATTATAAAAACATGATTTTAACATGTTTGCCCCTTTTCAAGAAGAGAAAAATATTGCTATCTGAGGCATAAAGTTAACTATGTTTGTAAGCTTTAAAATCAAAATACTTGGATTAAACTTTTTATTCAAGCTGTCATAGGCAAGACCTGTTCTCCTGTAGTATTCAGATGGTTATAGACATAAACTGGAAATGTATAGTTAGGACATATATGCCTGAACATTCCTCAATTACTTCAGTCTACAGACTATCAACATTACAGTGTGAAAGTTCGATGGACTGTCAAGAGCAAATCGATATACCCCTACCACAACAACAGTGGCATAAAAACTGGCCAAAGACATTAGCTAGCTTGATATACAACAACTATTCAATAAAGGAACTAAATAGATTCATTACCTGAAATCGCCTGAAGTTGTTTTTGTAAGGCCACCTGGTACATTAGCACTTACACATACAACCTCAAATCCTACACTGTATTCTCTGTAACACATAAACAATAGCTTTATTGTAACAATAGTTTTATTGAAACAATAGCTTTATTGAAACAATAGCTTTATTGAAACAATAGTTTTATTAAAACAATAGCTTTTTTGAAATGAAATCTTAAACTTGTATATCTTAATATAAATTAAAATGGCATTATACACATCCAAGTGTAAATGGTGGGTATACAGGTAAAAGTCAAAATAAGTTTACATTTTGCCAAAATTGCTTTCAATTTTATAGTTTACTTCAAATATCCTTCAGCATTTATCTATAAAGTTCAATTTATTAAGAGTGGGGCAGTTTCTTTACATTTTATGCAGTTTTTGCATTTTATCCTTCATTATCAAGTTCTGGTCAATCACCATCATTCTAGTCAAACTTCTAAAATTAATAGCTAAAACACCTCAACCTGACAGTAAAACAAGAGCTGTCCATAAGACAGCCAGCTGGACTATTCTCTCTGCTTGTCAGTAAAGTGACATAACTCTGTAAAAAGGTACCTGTGCCCATCATGTAAGATAATCAAAGGAAATAAGTCTGTTTCAACCTGTTCCCTTCAGTGGTTTTAGGGTTTTAGAGATACCAACTTGCACAAAAAAAAACTTAACCAAAGTGTGAACACCAATGCCTGTGTGAATATAAAAGCCCCCCGCCCCATATTTTTTAATAGTCAAGCTAAAATAGGGCATAATGTCATTTTTAATTTTCATGACTTTTTTTCAGCATTCATTGCAAATTTATCTCAAAAAGTGAGAAAAAAGATCTGTACAATTTAAGATAACTTACTTTGGACCAAACAGTTCAATTAAGACATAGTTATCAGTATTGCTGTTGTCAATTTTCACCTGGTATATAGGGTTATTTTTGTGAGTGTCCGGATAATTACTACAACCACCTGCAGTCGCACCTTTCCACTGACCCGTTAACTGAAAAATATCAAATATTTACATTAAGTTTTGCTGATCATTAATTATAAACCACTGAACAAACATGCAAAATAAAATGATAACATGGGTAAAACAATATCCCCTCATTGTTTGTTTTTTTATCTAGTTTTTACACTGATTTAACACATTTTTGCCCACCTAACCATATTTCCTGGATAACTAACCAGTTATAACCAATAACTCCGCAAGTGACCCACTACTAATCCTACATGATTTCTGAATCAGCAGTAAGAGACTATTAATATCTGTCATATGTTGCAGTTCGGATCGGAATATCCGTACCGAAGGGACATGCTGTCCCAGAATTCCAAAATATATTAATGACAGAAACATGTTGGTATATTTCCTGTTGAGTCAATGATGCAAGCTCAAAATCATTGCTAAACCGTAAAAATTCTACTAAAAGATAACAGCAAAGTATTTTGTTCCGATACATTTTTTTCTGTTTATGTACCGCTAAATAATGTAATGTTAAATATCAGAGACATCCTATGTAACAACCCTATTGATAATAGACCATATAAGATTTTAGAAACAACATAATTGTATTGTTTTTTTTATTTGTTTGTTTGTTATGTTTGTTTGGATTTTTTCAACACATAACTGGCCACATCGTACCGAATGCTATAATAGGCTTAAAATGTTATGTAAAACTTTGTAAATGACAATAAAAATGAGTCAATTGGATCCTAGAATTCAAGTTTATTTCTTTCAAATAATCAATGATGTTTTTTTGATGGAATTGTATTAAAAAGTTCTTTGAGTGAATTTACACAATAAAATCTATTACAGGCCTGTGAACAATTAGACATTCAAGAAGAAAAGGCTTGACAGTAAAATTTTCATTACAAGCTACACAGAAATGTACAAAAATGTATTAGAAATATACCTTTTAACCTTTTAATATTGCTGAAAAAGTGAAAGAAAAACTTGGTATTGATATCGTAGAAAATATGTTTAAAAGAAAATATGGATAATACAATGACATACTCGTTTTTCATACTGTTTCTTGTATGGATCAACAATCTTCGTAAGTGAGAACTCACATGTTGCAAATACCCTGAGTGTATAGTGTATTGTATTGTTTTTCTCGTACTGTGACACAACAAGTGTGTATGTGGCGTTCTTCTTATTCTCTATCAGTTTACACAGGTAGTGTGGACTGTTGATTCTTACACCATCTTTATATGGCGGAGGGTCATCTGTTTAAAGGGAAAATATGTATTAAAAATGTTTGAACTGTTCCTTTCTTTCATAATTTTGACAATCTTTTGTGTAAGACAGAGTTGTCAACTTATTTACCCTTGTGATATAGTGATCTTTAGCTGAAGGAAGATTAGTAATACATTTCTAAAATAAATTGCATTGAAACAAAATTCTTTTCTTTGGAGGTCTTCAAAACTTTATCATGAATGTATTATTACTCCTTAAAAGTTTACTCAGGTTTTTGGTCTATTGATTGTTATATCATCTATATAAGAAAAACATTTTAAATATGTTAAAAGAAAAAATATGCTAAAAACAATTTATAAATTAAAGATCCAGGCCAAACAGCAGCTCTGCACTGTTTGACGAGCAATATACAGGTAACAGCTATATTTAATCAAACATATATATATAATATCTGGATATTCCTAAAACTTAAAATTGGACAGTTTTCAATTTAAAGGAGGAAAAGTCCATCAAACAAAATTGCCGTCAGGGTAAGTAAAAAGGATTAAAACTAAACATACGAGGGTAGAATATCTTTTTCCCACCAGTGTCATACACCAGAAGTGCTATAAACTCACGGTTGTCTGCAAAATCATTCTGTAAGTAAAAAAAGTATTGTATGAACAACAAAAAACAAATTGATGATCTATCAACTGTTATAATCTAAAACAGGAAGACAACTCTACAGTAATGAACCAATGAGTAGAAATTACACACATGTTACAAGGTGGTTTAACATGCTTGTTTGTTTATTTTCTGTTTTTTAGGGCAATTTTAAAACAATTTGGGCCATATGAGGGGTGTTCATTGAATAATGAAAACAGTCTTGAAATACAAAACCAAGTCAGGTATATTTATGAAACTACAGCAGCACAAAATATGAAACCAGAGTAACATCTTTGGTGCCAAAGATAATGCCGTTGTCAGGACGTCCTGTACTGATGATGTCATCAACATATGATGTCCCTTCCTGTTTTATTCAAAATTGACGCCAGCAGAGAAGACCAATGATTTTACATATTTACAAGGCTGCAACTTGGAGAAGAATTGAAGCAAATTCAGGCTGATTTATTTACTGTATATACAGACTTAACTGTACCATATAACATGTATATTGGCATTGATCTTCTACAAAAGGCTTTCCTGAACAACTCATCAGTAATTACCAACATCGCGATTGACCAATTACTTATCCCACATGATTTCTAAATCAATGGTGAGAGACACATAACCTACAGGCTTGATGTCCTTGATCAAATGTTACAGAGAAACTTCACCCATCTAGAGGCTTGAACCAAAGACCCCTTGATAATGGGTGGCTGGACCAAAGTGCGTAATTTGACCAAAAATGTTTTTAAATTGATATAAAAACTAAACAAACGCAAACAGTTAAAATAATTTAAACAAATGAAATGTTTCGAAAAACTTATCAATATTTTTGTACCTTATCTGTTATATGTCTGGTTAAGAGACACCAGACAGCTGATGGTTGGTTAGACTTCAGTTCAAGTCTGTATTGTGGGTTGTCACTAATGTTGTATCTGTCTTTCTTTGGCCCTTCTTTAGCCTGCCATGTACTGTCAAACAAAAATGTTATATTTAGCTAAAAAAAAATTGTTTATTTCAACTTAACAAAACAGAAAACTTAAATCCTTTTAGCCACAATTTTTTTTGTTTGGTTTTACAGCATACAAACACAATTAAGGTCATATGGTGCCGAAACAGGAAAGAACATTTTGCCTGACCTTGGGTATAACAAACTTAAACCAACACTAGGGGTCAAAACCACTCAACTGCTGGAGCTAAGAGATGCATAGGCTTCAGTTATTTGAACCCATTTAGTCACCTGTGATGATCATGCAGGGATAAACACCGCTGCAATTCTGATGCCTCGACCCTATAGGGCAACCCCTGAGCAACAAGGGGCATTTTGGCCACATAGAAATCTTCAATGATGTTCAATGAACAATTGAGTTAAATGGATCAGTGACAAAAAAATCTTTGGAAAAATATAAAAAGTAAAATAAGATTTGATAAATATCATTGCAAAGATTTTCTTTCAAATAACAAACATACCTGTGCATACATGTGGTGTACTTGAACAATTCTGGATTCCAGTTGATATATATGACATCATAAAAATGGATTAATGATTCATAATCTATCCAAAACACACCTGAAAATAACAATTGGTATACATAAATATTGAAACTTATAATCTTTCCAGCTTTTCTTCTTCACTGTTTGTAATTATGAAAATATGTAAGATAACTCATTCAATACAGGATTCTGTTCTCATGAATTAAAGAGATCATATACTTGTAGTTTGAACAGAAAAATGCAGAAAAGGTCTGAAACTACATGTTTACATAAAAGTGACAAAAAGATGCCTTATTTTCATTATTAAACATCAAATAACATTTTAAAATTTTATTATGCAAGCATGTTTTATGTGAATTTTCTTACATCTTCTATTCAAATCAATTTCTTTTCAAGTTTGGAAGGGGGAAGGGATTTTGGGGGTTTGGATGTAATTACCAATGCATATTGAAAATACAGTCAAAAATGTGAACAAAAGCCTTCCAAGGGAGAGACAAAACTTGGTCTTCATATACAATTGGTCTTTTTACATAAGTAACTTTATTCAATGTTATCAATGAAGGGTATTAAAAAAAGTGGCCTTTATTTACAAGGTCATCTTTATTCAGATGTGGTCTTAAGCACAGGTTTGACAGTATATAGATTAAAAATAGTGACTTGCAAGCTTTTACTGACTTAGATTAACTAAAGATGTCACGTCTTATATTACTCAAGGCATGGCTGAGTCAACAAGTTTAAACAAATTATCAGTCAAATTGAATATTGGTTTATACAGAATTTATTTTAGTTCGATTGTGTAGGAAGCTACAATCTTATAGACACACTTTCGAATCTGTTCCTGGAACCAACCAGCACTGAGCAATGAGTGTAAAGTTTCTTGCTCAAGGAAACAATGACTTGCCGCTGACGGGGTTTGAACCGGCTTGCGGCTAGCGATCATTAGATCACTAGTCTGACGCGTTAACCACTTGGCCATGCCGCCACGTTTGAAATTGAATATTGTAAGTTTACCATTGTCAATTATTTGAGCACTTTTGGGGTCATAGTTGAGCGCCTTCTGTAACTCTGGTGTCCAGTTTGTAAGATCGTTCTCACAGTACCTTCCCTTCCATCTTAAATGGTTCCATGGATTCTTTAACATCAGCAGTCTCTTGCCCTATATGAAGTTTTATATTTTTTATTTTAGATTATAAAAGATATTACAAATATACATTTCTTTTTTTATTCAATGGTTGAGTTTCAAATCGCGCCAACACTTTGTTACAAAAGCATATGGTGACTTTTCACCTTTACTGGTGGAGGAAAATATTAGGTGCCCCTCTGTAGGGCACAAACAGGAACCTAAGTAGAACAACTGACCTTCTGCAAGTGAGCTGGATAGCTTCCTCACATAAAAGAATCCTAAGCCCCTATTGGAATTCAAAAATACATTTTTGTACACAATTTCTATTGTGAGTTTAATATAAACAAATATCTTCCAATGTTTCTACTGATAACAAGGCAAATGGAAAGCTGCAAATTAGGTTAATCTATATACGTATTTTATTTTCCCATACTTAATTCCATGTATTTGACATAAAAATTCTAAAATTAAAACAAGGTAAATAAAACAAATCAGTTTAGATCAACCTACTAAATTTACTTTATTACAAAATTGTAATCTGACCTTGACTTCTCTAATATCTAACATTGCATATGCATGAGTAGGCACAAGTCCCGCCCTATCAGCTTCTGCATCATTGAGATCTCCAGTTGCCATGGTAACAAGACAATGACCTTTGTGAAATCTGTCGAGGATACGCTTGAACTCCTTGTCTTTATCAAACCTGTCGTCGTTAGCATTACTCATGGAAACACGCTCAGGAATCCAGCCCGTCAGGGCATTCAGATCTATATTCTGTTATGCAACAACAACAACAACAAAATTGTACACCATATTATTCTACAGCAGTAATAACATTTCTTAGACAACGAAAAAGATGTTTAACTTTGACAACACTAAATATCTTTAATGGTCTTGTGAATTGTACAAGTTGGACAAATCTATTCATCATCTTAACATGCTTTAAGGAAAATTCTAAAATAAGTACAGACTGAATAGCAAACAGTGCAGATGATGATTAAATGACATGGGTGTACAAGTACCTGCTGATCTTGGTCTGCACTATTCTCACAGATAGAGAAAGTTGCCGCAGGCTTTGGGAAGTTAGATTGAAGATGCCTCCATTACTTCATACAGAAGTAAGAGCCTAATTCAGAAACACCACTCTTTGATAATCTTTGTTAATATTTTACGGAGAAATATGACTATAATTCACAATGCTAGGGTCATTTCACTGCAGTATACTTACAGAGTTAGATCCAGGGAAGTCATAACCTCCCATTACTTTCATATATGCCTTCTCCAGAATAGATACCCATAGTTCATTTCTATTGTTAGAGTAGGAACACAGTAACTCTCCATGCTGATCCATTGGCAGAAAGTCATCTACAATCACCTTGTGAGGAATGGGAAAAAAAATTAACCATTATTGACAATTAACAAAATACTATGCACTTAAGTTTTACAAACTTTCTTCAATTTGGAATAAAAAACAGTAATGTAGACAAAAATAAATTTGACAATGACAAATCTATTCTAGTATTTTAATATGGTAACTGATTCTTTTTTTCAGATCATGTATCATGTATGATGGCAAGACAAAACAATGCTTTACTACAATATAATTTTTCATAACCTTACCCGTATATAAGGATCTTCTTTATAAAGCAAAATTTAATATAAAAATGACTTGACAATAATAAATCTCCCTATTCTTGGAATAGTTGAGCTAAAATCAGTTAATCTTAAAATTGAAATCCAGGCATGTATAATAGTACTCAACAAATGCCTTATCAACTACATGCATAACATGAAATTTACAAGGAAAGATACCTTTCTTAGAACACCATTTATGTTAAGTTTGACCATGTATTTCCCACATGGATTGTACACTGGATCACCATTTTTATTCTGTGGATAAACTATACTGAAATACAAATGGTTTATCTTTACTTTTTTTATTGTGACCTCAAACCAAAGGTATTACAAAATACCATCAAAAAATCAATAAATCTAGTAAATTTTATTTTCAACAACAGGTATACACGTCTTTGGGGCAAAAAGATGGTACTGTAAGTGGGAGACATATATCTCCCCTGTAGGCAGTGAATGAGCATAAAAGATAAATTTGTACATTAATCAGTGAAAAATGTATTGAATCAATATTATTTAAATAGTGAAAGGTGCATTACATTAAACATAAGAATACCTGGTAATGAGTTTCTTCTTAAATCTCCTCTCATATTGAGCACTGATTGCAAGAGATGCTACAAAACTGCAGTCTGATACTATAGTCTGAAAGTGATGAACATAATACATAAACTCTTATCAAATCAAACAAAATGATAATATCTATTCTTGCATAGCAATCTGGCGTTTCGATTAGTTTAACCCATGCCGGAAATTTCATCTGGCATGGGGGAGCCAGATGAGTCGCGTGCTGTACAATGGCACGCTTAGGATGATGTCATTTTACCGTTATGAATGAAGTTGCAATTTCATAAGCTGTTGTAAGAAAGTAGTTACGGTTGTCATGATATAAATTTCCATTGAAAATAAAGATAAAGAATTTAAAATATAATGGAATATGGTCACGGCAAGCCTCGTTACCACCCACTTGGCGGGTCACCTCAGGACGGATATCCTGATCCGAACCGCAACATATGACAGATATTATTAATCTAGCATATCACAAAAGTGTCTGAACAGGTCCCAAATGAAGGACAAGTCATGTGCTTTGAATAACATCATTTTGTTGGCATAAGAAATAAGTTGGGTGTTCTTAAATGACCTCATTTCACCTTTGTAGCTTAAACAAAGTTAATAAACATATGCTACGATCAGAAAAAAACAGATGAGAATTTCAGGCTCCAGTGCAGAGGCTTATAACCCCTTTAAACAGTTATCCTAGGGCCAGCTCTTTACATCTGTATGGGTAGCAAGTTAAGATACTCTCATTTTCAAACCACAATCATACATGTATTTTTCATTGACTAGTAATTAGTAAAGATAGGCACACTATGCTTGTATATACATTTGGTAAAAAAATTAACATTTGAACCCCTAAAATTTGGCAACACAATCATAAAAATTTGCCTTATTTATATGTGCAATATTTTACATGTATAGTTCAAAACCATCACATACCTGTCTGATGCTTAAACTGGACACGGCAATAATCATTTTAGGATCATCACAGAAATCTTCCGGTCTTGCCCATTTGCCAAAATTCTGCTTCTGTTTTGGTGACAAAGCCAACTTCCCATCTTTATCACTGTAAGAATGTATACATCAATTTTTAAGCACAATAAAAATACTTTCATGCTAAACTTGTAAGAAAGCAAGTGTCCTATATTCTCTAATAAACACACCCTCCTTTTATAAATAAAGAAGACGAAAATTTGAGTTTCCATGATGAGAGCACTTTATTATTACAAATCAAAGAAAATTAGCACAAACTATACACAGCTGGTGCATCCTGTATATATATATTTTTGTCTGCAGTTAATATCACAAAACCTTTATATTATTTATATTTTGAAAATATCAAATTTTTCTGTATTTTCTATTAACCCTTTCCCTCATGAGCATACTGTGAAAAATGGCCGTTTTCATTGAAAAACCTCCTGTTACAAGTTCAAACTGCTATGAAACTATAAAAAATGCTTCAATACTAATCAAACTTGGCACAGATGTTGACTTGACCATTGCCTTTGTAACAACATGCTCAGTATTAAATTTCCTGTTACCATGGCAACAAGGAGACATCTCAAAATTGCCAAAAATCACTAATTTTATCAACCTAGGGTCGATTTTAGCCTCTCACAAGTCCAAAATTTTCAAGGCGATGAGGGGGACTACCGTCCACCTTCAAACCCCCCAAACAGAAGGGGGTAAATCCCCTTTCTGGCAACCCCCTGATGTATCTTTGGATGGGGGGGGGGGGGCGGCGCCTAAAAAGTGATCACTTTTTTAGCAACATTTCCCAAACGAAAAACAGTGTTTGGAGCCTAAATAGGGTAATTTTTCACTGTTTGAGGGCTCAAAAAGGGGTGGGGGTCGAAAAGCCGTCAAACGTCTATATGAAGCAAAGGGTTAACATCCCCTTTTTATGGAAAATGTAATGCCCCAGGGATCATTTGATAGTTACTATCTGGTAGTTACTTTGATTTATTTTTTGTTCAAACTATATCGAGACTATTGAAAAATTACTTCGATTAGACCTTACATATTGAGAAACAGACAAGCATTATTGATATATGATTTTCTTTAAAAAAAAAAAACATAAGAAAAAATGTAACAATGAACAGTAACTACAATCTCTCAAATCAGATGTTGCAACTCTAGTCAGTATCACAGATGAACATAATCAGTATTTTGGAAGCATACATATAAAAAAAATATTGACAGGGTGAGCATGTTTCTATCAGGGATCAACTTACCTGAAAGGGACTGGAAAAGCAAATCTTTCTTTCATATCAACAGACAGGAAAGGAACATATAATCTCCCATTAACATCTGAGGTAATCCTACAAAAATAGATTTTAAAGATTTAATGTTTACCTTTCATAATATAATAACACATAAAATAACATCATAGAGTACTGATCACAGAAAACCAAATGTAAGAAATTACAATATCAGATATATTCTTATCTTAAATGAAATCAATTATGGTAGTTTGTTTGTTTGATAGGTTTTTAGGTCACACCAACACAGTATAGGTCATTTGGCGAGGTTCCAGCTTTACTGGTGGAGGAAAACCTCAGGTGCCCTTCCTTGCATTATTTCAGGAGTAGAACCACCCATGTTCCGTAAGCTAGCTGGATAGATTCCTCACATGAAAGAATCCAAAGACCCTGTCCGGATTCAAACCAACAGTGGTGAGGGGCAAGTGGTTTGAAGTCAACGACCTTAACCACTCAGCCAAGGATGCCCCAATTATGGTAAGCATAATTCATGGATTCTGCAATTCCATTGACAAGATGGTACAAGACCTTGTAACAAGAGCTGTCCGTAAGACAGCGCGCTCGACTTTTTTATTGCTTGCCAATAAAAAAAGTTTTTGCAGTAAAAGGCAATACAAGAATCTCTGTATTTTTAAAGTGAACAATGGCCATGAGCATTAAGATATTTAGTGAAGAATTATTTTACTGAATTGTGTGATACCCTTGAACACTGCAGCAAAGTTTGAAATGTTTAAGTCAAAAGAGGGCTGGTAAGAAAGAAAAAAAAACTGAGTTGAGCCTTAAATAAATTTAATAGTATTAAACCCACTTTGAGAGAATAAGGTATTTTTACGTCACTCAGAACACCTTGGTAAATGACATAATAACATAATTTTTCAAGAAATCTATGCCAAGGAAGCAGTATATTTTTGTACAATCAGCATAATATATAGATTTGACTTTGTATGTGAAAGTATTATAGTTACCTTATAATACAAGTAATAGATAAATTTTATCAAGCTTTTTTAGATGTTGTCAGTTGGTCACAAGTGGATCTCTTTCACACAAAAAAAAAGTACAAAAAGAGAAAAATAACTAGTTGTTTGATACCCTTGAATATTACAGCAATGTTTATATGACATAATTTATGGTAAAGTGAACAAGTGGATAGGAATGAATTTTTTTAGATTTTTTAAGTTTTTTAGTGCTTGCCTATAATACAAAACATTGACAGTTAAGGGCCATAATTCAAATAAAATCTTTGACAGAATTACCTTCTCCTGGACATGTTTGGGAATCATGATTGTAAACAAGTATTCCAACTTTCAAATTAATATCTCAAACAGTTCAGTCAAAAAGTGGACTGGTACTAAAAACTTAACCAAGATTCTAAGTCGATAAAAGGCCTTAATTTTTAAACAAATCCTTGACAGAGTTACCTTCTCTTGCGTACAGATGGGGGTAATGATGTGAAATAGCATTAAAAGTTTCAAAGCAATATCTCAAAGGGTTAAGGCAATAAGTGGATTTTACCCATATTCAATGTATTTTCTAAGTCAAAAAGGGGCATAATTCTGTCAAAAACCTTGACAGAGTTATGTCCTCTTGTCTGTTGATGAAGGTCGTGATGGTAAACAAGTATGGTCAGTTTCAAAGCAATACCTCCAATGGTTTTGAAATAAAGTGAGGTGGTACAAAAAACTTAACCAAGCTCAATACACTTTCTAAGTCAAAAAAGGGCCATAATTCTGTCAAAAACCTTGACAGAGTTATGTACTCTTGTCTGTAGATGGAGGTTATGATGGTGAACAAGTATGGTAAGTTTCAAAGCCATACTTGTAATACTTCTGAAATAAAGTGGGGTGGTACGAAAAACTTAACCAAGGTGTGACGCCAACGCCGACGCCGACGCCGACGCCGGGGCGAGTAGGATAGCTCCCCTTTTCATAGAAAAGTCGAGCTAAAAATGTGTGTGTGGGGGTTTTTTTGTAGTTGTTTTTTTTAAATTTTTTTTTTTGCTAATGCTTTGGGAAAACAAATTTTTTGGGAAAACCCATTTTTTTCCCATTTGTACAATAGTTTAAGCATAAAGGCCCCTTTTGGTAATCAAAGTACTGGAAAGGTTTGGGCCGTAAAGTTCATCCCCTGTTTTGGGCAACCCGGGTTTTTTTCCCTTTCCCGAAAGGGAACTTTCAAATTCTAAATTCCCTTTAAACTGGCAAAATTTTCAAAGTAACAGATTCAAGAGTGTGTGTCCTAATAAGCCTTACACTTTCAAACAGCTTTATCACATAAAACTAAAATAATATACTTTTTAAACTACACAAATGTAGTTCAATATTTTCACCCATGTGAAAGTGAGTGAAGTTTCAACCCATTTCGCTTCAATAGTTTTTGGAGATACTAAAATTGCATGCAAAAACTAATCAAAGTGTGATGAGGACACTTAACACCAAATGCCTTTCGTGAGTACAATAAGCTATCCCTAATCTTCAAATAATGTAGGCTAAAAAAAAGTCATAATTTCATTTCACTTACACAATCTGCATACATTGTCTTTACCTTAACACATCAATTTCCTCTTTAGTATAAGCATTTACGTCCAACATTTATTACACCTGAAGTCCCCCTTTCTGTGACCTTGCCCTTGTTACATTTGGTACTGAACCCTGTGACCCTTGCTCCTCATCATCACTTCCAGCAAATGCCCCAAACCCAAGTGGAGGGACAACTTTACCCGCAGAGTTCATTGGTTTATTGGTGGGGGTCATAGCAGGGGCAACTTCTGATTTAGGAGATAGTTTCTTTTTTAAAACTTCTGCTCTGAAATAAATTTCAGATGGTTACTCTATCATACCATACTCTTATAAACAAAGTATATATCTTAATCTATGCATAAACAAATAACAACAATAAATTTACAAATTGTATAAAGACCCAGAAATGCCTTTTTTATTTCTCAAATACCCTTTATTTTTGGTGTACTTTTATTGTTTTCAAAAGGTTACTCATTTCTTCTGTTGCTTTTCAACAATTAGTACAGTTATAGTGATTAAGTTTTTTTGTACGGAAGTAAAAATTTACTACTTTTTTTTTAAAATTTGCAAACCCTTTTATGACAAATGTTTCGCATTTACCCGTTTCCTTTTTCGGGGTAAAAACACCCTTACAACCCTAAACCTTTTTCTTTAAATGTTAAAAAACCCATTTTTCCCCTTTTTCTAAAGAAGAAAAAAATGTTTTAAATTTCCCAGGGGTTTTTAAAGTGGCTTTAACCCCTTTCATTACCATTTTTAGAAACCCTTGTTCAGAAGAATGGCAGTAAATATGGGGTTTGCCATCTTGTTAAAATAACTTTTTAGCTTAACCCTTTTATGTTTAAAGTATGTTTTCTTCATATTTAAACAATTTTATTTTGCTATTTTTTTATCACAATTTAATGCTATAAGTCAATTTTATGCAAATTACCTTAAGATTCATTTTACAAAAAGGAATTTTTTTTAAAAAAAATACATGGCTTCTAAATTTGTTGATTGTCTTTTTTTCCACCAGTAAAATGTAAAATTATGTTAAAGCAGACAAAATGGAATTGATCTTTATTTGTGGATTGGTCAATTGATGAAAACAACAACAAGAGGGCCATGATGGCCCTGAAGTCGCTCACCTGTATATAGGCCCCCGGAGCGGGGCCAGTTTAAACCCCAGGGCTTTTATTTGAACAAACTTGGTAGACACCCATTAGAAGATGTTTCATGCTAAACATCTAAGGTCTAGCTGGTCAAGTTTTTTCTTTACACATATAGTTAAAAACAATGACACACCTGTGGCAGGGCCAGTTTTGACCCAAGGGCTTTTATTTTAACAATCTTTGACATTGTAGACACTTACTAGAAAATGTTTCATGCTTAATATCTAAACTCTAGCTATTCGGGTTCTTTCAAAGAAGATTTTTTAAGTTTTTGTATTACACATAAAAGGAAAATGAATGACCCCCGGGGCGGGGCCAAGTTGGACCCCATGGCTTTTATTACAACAAACTTGGTAGACACTCACTAGAAGATGTTTCATGCTAAGTATCTAAACTCTAGCTATTTGGTTTTTTTCAAAGAAGATTTTTTAAGTTTCTGCTATACACATATATGGAAAATCAATGATCCCCGGGGCGGGGCCAATTTTGACCCCAGGGCTTTTATTTGAACAAACTTTGTAGACACTCACTAGAAGATGCTTCGTGCTTAATATCTAAACTCTAGCTATTTGAGTTTTTTCAAAGAAGATTTTTTAAGTTTTTGTTATACATATAAAAGGAAAATGAATGACCCTCGGGGCGGGGCCAATTTTGACCCAGGGCTTTTACTACAACAAACTTGGTAGACACTCACTAGAAGATGTTTCATGCTTAGTATCTAAACTCTAGCTATTTGGTTTTTTTCAAAGAGAATTTTTTAAGTTTTTGCTATACACATATAAGGAAAATCAATGATCCCCGGGCGGAGCCAATTTTGACCCCCAGGGCTCTTATTTGAACAAACTTGGTAGAAATCCATTAGAACATGTTTCATGCTAAATATCTTAGCTCTAGCTCTTTGGGTTCCTTAAAAGAAGATTTTTTAAGTTTTTACTATATGCATATAGGGAAAATCAATGACCCCCTGGGACGGGGCCAATTTTGACCCCAAGGCTCTTATTTGAACAAACTTGGTAGACATCCATTAGAACATGTTTCATGCTAAATATCTTAGCTCTAGCTCTTTGGGTTCTTTAAAAGAAGGTTTTTTAAAGTTTTTACTATATGCATATAGGGAAAATCAATGACCCCCTGGGGCGAGGCCAATTTTGACCCCAGGGCTTTTATTTGAACAAACTTGGTAGACACTCACTAGAAGATGTTTCATGCCAAATATCTAAGCTCTAGCTCTTTGGGTTTTTTAGAAGAAGATATTTAAAGTTTTCTCTTTTGGTTGCCATGGCAACCAGAGTTCTGCATGGAATTAAATTCTTTGAGTTTGAACAATTTTCAAAGGTGACCACCAAAGGAACATTCTTGTGAAGTTTGAATGAAATTGGCTCAGTGGTTTATGAGGAGATGTCATTTAAAATAAAAGTTTACGGACGACGGACGGACGACAGACGAAAAGTGATCACAAAAGCTCACCCTGTCACTTTGTGACAGGTGAGCTAAAAATTAGTCACACATGAATAATAATGATTTTGCAGTATGTAACTAAAAATATAGTGTAAGTATATAATCAAATCATCAATACTTATAATATATATCTTAAATTCTTAACCCTGACTATGCTAAATTACTTAAAAGGACTTGTCCATCTTTCAATTTAGACAAAACCATGCTTTAATTTTTAGGGAAATTTTCAATATAACTGCTGACTAAATAGCATTCAGTGCAGGCATAATCTGACACATTGATCAGATTGCATATCTGCACAATTAATGTGCCATCTAACCCTGGTCTGCTCTGGTTTCATGGGTACAATTAATTGCTGCCTTCAGGTTAAAGTAATATACTAGTACTTTGCCAAAGTGGATGTGTGCCGCTTTAATCTATATAATGGGCAATTATTATACCTATCTAGAGCTTGTGAAGCAAGTTTCTTCACCTTTTCTTGCAATGCTGTATCTTTTGTTTCATTTCTCTGCAAAAGAAAATCAAAATTACAAATTAAAAATCAAACTCAAATCTTTGGTGAACAATCTTGTCCCTATCTTCAACAAGAGGGCCATGATGGCCCTGAGGTCGCTCACCTGTATATAGGCCCCAAAGCGGGGCCAGTTTAAACCACAGGGCTTTTATTTGAACAAACTTGGAATTAAGACACCCATTAGAAGATGTTTCATGATGTTAAGTTTTTGCTATACACATATAAGGAAAAACAATGACCTTCTCCCCCCCACCCCACCCCCCGGCAGAGTTGAACAAACTTTGTAGACACTTATTAGAAGATGTTTCATGCTTAATATCTTACTCTAGGTATTTGGGTTTTTTCAAAGAAGATTTTTTAAGTTTTTGCTTTACACATATAAGAAAATCAATGACCCCCGGGGCGGGCCAATTTTGACCCCAGGGCTTTAATTTGAACAAACTTGGTAGACACTCACTAGAAGATGTTTCATGCTAAATATCTTAGCTCTAGCTCTTTGGGTTCTTTAAAAGAAGATTTTTTAAGTTTTTCTATATGCATATAGGGAAAATCAATGACCCCCTGGGGCGGGGCCAATTTTGACCCCAGGGCTTTTATTTGAACAAACTTGGTAGACACTCATTAGAAGATGTTTCATGCCAAATATCTAAGCTCTAGCTCTTTGGGTTCTTTAAAAGAAGATATTTAAAGTTTTTTCTTTCGGTTGCCATGGCAACCAGAGTTCTGCATGGAATTAAATTCTTTGAACAATTTTTAAAGGTGACCACCAAAGGAACATTCCTGTGAAGTTTTGATGAAATTGGCTTAGTGGTTTATGAGGAGATGTCATTTGAAGCAAAAGTTTACGGACAGACGCCGGACGAAAAGCGATCACAAAAGCTCATCCTGTCACTTTGTGACAGGTGAGCTAAAAATTAGAGTTATAACATGACAAACCTTGGCTACAACGGATTAAAGTCACAAATATAATTTTAAAACTGATTTGACTGATAATTTTACAATAATTGTTCCCTGGTATTCTAACTAACTTACTATTTTAGGACATTTTTCTTTATCCTCCATGTACAGGTCACTTACAATTTTAGACATAAGTCTACAGCTTCAGAGCACAGATGTAACTTACTACACTGGAGCCGCGATATAGCGCTCATCGGTATAGCGCTTATCTCAGTAGAACGCTCATATGCCTTGGCTCCCAAAAAAAAAATCGTATTTTTCGCCCATTATAATTTTTTTTCATGTATATCAATACCGCACCTTATCCACTATAACGCTTGTTCAATGTGTCAGTCAAGTGCAATAAACAGTCATAATTACGTCACTCATGATAAGAAGGTGTGAAGTCATACACAGGTAAGCGTTAATCCGCTCTTTTGTTCATTTTGAACTGTTGATCAGTCAGGTATCAAACTGTTAGCTAAGACATGCAAACACCGACGAGTTAAGTAAATCACCCAAGCATACAATTAATTTTAAAAAGCATGCACTTTCGATCTATCTGCAAAAAAGTTGTTGAGGATGACTGATTTTTTTTCACAAGAGACAGCAGGAAAGACGATTAATTTAGTCCCATCCACTAGGTATCAATTTTCATGACCACACATAACTCACGTTAACACCGCTGTTTTACTGGAAATTTATAAACATTCATTCGTGGTTTATATTTTTAATTCGTAAATTTCATGTTTATATTAAAGATATTCAGTAATACTTTACAAAATAATTAATAATAATATATAAAAAAAGCTTGGACTGATATCCATTGGAAGGTAAGTAAACAATCAATTCCACTAACAAGCGTTATATGTTTCGGCGGTGGGTGGGGTAATGCGATATTTTCGCTATAATTACAAAATGAGCGTTATAAAAAGTTACTCGTTACAACGCTGTCTTGAGATCATGGACCCCAACATGAGCGCTATATCGCGGCTCCAGTGTATTTAGGACATAATTCTACAGTCCCTTATACAGATGTAACATGCTATTTTATACACAGTTCTACTTTTAGACATAATTCTACATCCTCATGTAAAGATGTCACTTACTAGTTTTAGACAGTATAGAAACATCCTCTTTGTACATATGTACATGTAATTTACTATTATTAGACATAATTCTACATCCTCAGTGTACAGATGTCACTTACTTTTTTAGACATAATTCTATAGCATCAGTGTACATAATGTAGCTTACTCATTTACTATTTTTAAGACATAATTCTACAGCCTCAGTGTACATTATGTAACTCACTTTTTTTAAAACATAATTCTAAAGCCTCAGTGTATATAATGTAAGTTACTTTTTCAGACATAATTCTAAAGCTTAAGTGTACATTATGTCACTCACTATTTTTAGACATAATTCTATAGCATCAGTGTACATAATGTCACTTACTATTTTTAGACATAATTCTACAGCGTCAGTGTACATAATGTCACTTACTATTTTTAGACATAATTCTACAGCCTCATGTACAGATAGAACTTACTATTTTTAGACATAATTCTACAGCCTCAGTGTACAGATCAATAGCTTCCTGTCCATTTCCCATCTCATCCTCTTCAAATGCTTGTTTTAATAAAAATTTGGCTCTTTCCATATCACACTGAAATTTATAAGATAAATAATTTATTATCTCATATAAATAGTTTTTTTGTCTGTGTAGCTGTATTTAGATCGTTTTTACCTACATTTGTAACCAATTGAATTGTAGGTTACAAAACTTTCAGCCAAATAAGGATGTGCACCATTGGTTAAAAGAGCAGCAGGTATGAAATTTAAAAAAAAAGAAAAGATTTGTTATTTTTAGTTGATTAAAAAATCTTTCATAAAAATATTTATATACCTTTAAAAAATAGGTAAAAACAGGACAAATATTTACAAAGGTGAAGATATAAAGTAGCCTATGTTTCTGAATCCCCAACATTTCCCCTCCCGTTATTTTTTTAAAGCTGACAATTCCCCTCCCATTCTTTTATCAATCTGTACAATTCCCCTCCCATTCTTTTATCAATCTGTACAATTCCCCTCCCGTATATCAACCCGGGCAATTCCTCTCCCGCTGTTTTGTCAAAGCCGAAGTTTCCCTCCTGTGATTTGAACATACATAATATTCTTTTTTCAAAAGATATTTTTAATCTGCTTGATATGCTTTAACAATAATTAATAACAATTTGAAAATGATTGGTTTTGAATTCAAAGACACACTTAATTACAGAAGGGCAGCAATGATTAAAGATTTTTCATTGACAGTTTGTTCATCTTATGCAGCAGCGGCAATGATTAAAGACCATTTAACGTCACTTTTGTGTATTAATAGTTGTTAAAAATTCCGCTCGCTAACAGTTTGTTCTTAAGATTAGAAACTTTCATCTTCAATGATAGGTAAAATAATTACAGAAGAGTCATTTTCCAAAAAAAAAAAAAACAGGAGGGGAATTGTCCGCTCTGCCAAAAAGACGGGATGGGAATTGTCCGCCCTGTAAAATTAAGGGGAAGGGAAAGTCCGCCCTGTAAAAATAATGGAACAGGAAATGTCTGGGTTGTAAAAATAATATGGAACAGGAATTGTCCGGGAGGGGAATTGTCCGGGTACCTATGTTTCTTTGAAAATACAATTGTTTTCAAATCTGCAACCTGGTCTGTAAATACTATGCTATTCCTGGTATGGTAACTATTCTGTACAGGAGAATTACAAGAAACTCAATACCATTCTCTTTGATTCTTAATAAACAACAATTCATTGCTGTAAGAAAGAAATGTTTCAATGAAGGTACAAACAGATGTTATTGTGTTCTTTGAGTATTGTGTATTTTCCTACATATGTTTATTTTTTGTTTCAAAAGATTTCTTTCGAAAACAAGAGCAATCAAATATTCTTCGTGCTAGACAGTACGAAAAGGGGTTTAACTCTCTAAAATGTTAACTCACAAGTTATGGGACAAGTTTCATGAAAGATAATCACAAAGAACAAGTGTGTGAAGCTTCAACTCATTTCCTTCCGTAGTTTTTGATATACATGTACCAACTTGCATGTTAAAACTTAACTAAAGTGTGAAGGGGAATGCCGACACAGATGTCAAAGCCTGTGTGAATACAACAGCTCTCCCTATTCTTCAAATAGTTGAGCCTAAATCTAGATTTTTTAACAGTTTATATGTATCACTGATGTAATAAATAGGGATAACAATAGTATAAACAGCCTCTTTTGTCACTTCTATAATTATCTTTATTTACATTTTTGGGTTTTCCAATTCATGTTTAAACGAGTGACAATATGGTTTAAATAGTCAAGATAATAAAATTTAATGACACTGAAAATGGTAGAAAAATGCACATTTGTTTAAATTATTTGTTTCAATAAACTTTATTTGTATATACCTGATGTGATGACATGGTTTGATTCATTGCCTGGGGATAACTTGAAGCTGAAAAATAGAAATAATTCTTAATGATAATCAGTTGCTACCTCAATATTTGTTTGTTTGATTGAGTTTTACGTCACACCGACACAGTATAGGTTATATGGCGATGTTCCAGCTTTACTGGTGGAGGAAGACCTCAGGTGCTTTCCGCGCATTATTTTAGGCACAAACAGGCACCTGAGTAGAACCATCGACGTTCCTTAAGCTAGCTGAATAGCTTTCTCACATGAAAGAATCCAAAGTCCCTGTCAGGATTCGAACCCACAGCGTTGAGGGGCAGGCTACCTCAATGGATAAAGCACTAAGTACACAGATCTTGGAGCCTTGGTTTTGTTGTTTTTTAACCTTTCAATGGATGACAACAAAATGTTTTATGCAAAATGACCCCCAGATAACCTCCATTTCTATTTTATTAATTGAATAATGATGAGAAGTTGGCAATTGTTTGTGGAAAAGAGATAAGTACTAGTACATGTACAGATTTCATGAAGACTTGTCAGGTATATGTTTGCCAGTGTACCTGGCTATGCCTTCAATATGTTTCAGTTGGCACAAAACTCAACAAAATGAACATAAGAATCTCTTCCTGAAAGTATGAGTTTAATAACTTGGATACTGCGGAATAAGCATTTTATTGCCTTTGATTCTAGTATACATTGTAGTTTACAGGTTTCAAAGTTATTTATTCTTAGTAGCCAATAAAAAATACATGTATGTTGAAAAAGTTAAACTTTTGCTGTCTTGTTGCTCTCTTTTTTTTTCTGAATTACATTAATACTTCTAATTCTAAATTTCGAAGGTACACCTTAAAACTAAATCAAATGTTAGGATTTATAATGATATCAGCAACATATACTGGAGTTATGTCCAAAGATTATCTTGTTAGTGATTTTTTTTTTCTCAATTTTCAAAACAACCTGTGTCTTTCTAATATAGCTTGATAAATTAGATGGTGAGGAATACCTGAATTGAGAATTGTTTATGTATTTACTCACATTTATAAACATTTTATAAAATTTTCAATTTCAATTCAATATTACTTTCATGGAACATAGCAGACTGAAAGGCTATCTATGTGGACAGCTTTCTGTCTTTCAGTCAATTAAATTAATTAACTAGCTAATACAGGTCAGCTGCTGTTAATTCATGTTTCTGGTAAAGATTTGCACAGGGCATTTCTAAGAGAAAATATATGCCCATTTAAATCACAGCTAAAAATCCAACACTTACTGATTTTTTTCAGTTCCTCTGCCCTTGTTATATACTGTTGAGCTTTATCTACGATACCTGGCATTTTAGAACCACTCATTGCAGCATTCAATAACGCTTGAGCAGCTTCCTGATAATATACAAGACAAAATTTGTTCATGTCTTACTCCTAGAGTCCCTCTGTATAATTATAAACATGGATAAGCACCTAGGTAAAATGATTTTTACCATCGTAATCAAATATATATTATATTAAAAACCGGACAGATTTCATACTTCATAAATTTAAAACACAAAACACACATTTAGCCAGTGTATCAACTGGCATATGTATATGACAAAGTTCTAAGTATTTTATTTCATATTAATATTTGGAAGGGTTCATTTGATCTAAACAATGGCAAAAAATATATCACTGTTAAAATATCTAAGTCTAGATACCAATATCCACTTATGATACCACCCAACAATTGAAGTCATTTTATTATGACCTACTGACGGTCTTGGGAGAGGGTTTCATGGTACTAATAAACTTAAAACTTTTATAAAAACAAATTGACCAATGATCACTTGATTCTTACAGTGTAAAAGAATATTGCCATTGGATGCTTATTGTGCTGGTCACATGTGACAGCTTGTTGAGCAAAGGAAATTCCATCTTTCTCCAGTGTGTCTGGGTCAGCACCATTGTTTCCATCGAAACCCGGGTCTGTCATGCTGATAGTTTGTATCTTATACCATTACACCATTCCTGTAAAGCAGAAAAAAAATTGTGGAACCTGATCTTGCATGCAAAACAGCAATTTTTCACCAAATGTAACAAGAGACCTCCCAATTGATTTTTTTTAAATCACACATTTTCCAGAGAACTTTTCCCAAAAATCTGAACAAACTCCAAATTTTTTACTTCCCAAATTAGCAATTTTAATGATAATTCTTCCCAAAATCAGGAGGCTAAGGCCTTTTCCAAATTTAGTGAGAAAAACCACTGCAAAACTTAAACCAATAAATTTTAAAAAGGGATATAACTCAGTTCTAATCCTTGCTAAATTTAAGTGCATTGGATAGGGATCTCCAGTTATGACCTTGTTATGTGAAGTTTTGAGTAACATTTAACCTTCACATGCTGATTGATGAAATAAGATGTACATGTAGTTGCACGCAAAATTTCACTCACTGTTACACAAATTATCAGGCTTATATTTCCTAATAAAGTTGAAATGAGTTGGTAAAAGTAAATGCATTGTTATTGTGACTGTAGTCAATGTTGAAAAATTTAATAATTGTTATCCACATATGGCTGATTTAAACTTTTCAACATTTTTGTTTCCTACCATAATCAGCCATAGTGAAACTATATATGTTGGTGCAGTACAATTTATGCATCAGCATTAGATCTTTTTCTCTGAAAGTGATCATTATACATTTATGCCCTATACAAATATGTTTACAAGTTGTTTTAGTATTTTAAAATAAAAGAGTATTTTTTATTAAGCAATGATAACAAGTACATCGCTGCCTAGGTGGATTACATGGCAGTGGTGACATATAAATGGACATGTATGTAAGGTGACAAATCTAATTTCAGTTAGTGTTAGCATGTTCATTTTGCATTAATCTTTCATTGGCAATTCTATTTCTTTCAAATCATTACTAATTAAATTGATTAAATGCATAAGATCTAAAACTACACATTTTTGAAGTCATCTGAAAAATGTAAAATATCAGAACAATCATAATTAAGGATAAACATGAAATAGGTTTTCGTATATGTCTTATAATTAGGACTAACCAACTGTCAGCCATTTTACATATGATTTATATGATATGCAACTGATAAGAATACATGTAGGCAGTGGCTTGTTGGTTCGGACACTGCATATTGGAGTAAACTTTAGGGTCACCGTCAAGCATTGTTCCTGGGCAGGCTGTCAAGCAGTTTACCAGTACTAGTTGCCTTCACTTTCGCAAGGAACTGAAACTTCTGTACTGGTTGGGGACCACCAAAACCGGACAACCACCAAACCCGGACGGCCCCGAAAATGCTTGATTTAGAATTTTCTTTGTTCAGTGGTTGTCAGTCACTTTTTTATCAACAATAAATGCATGTTTCTTCTATAATTAAGTAAATAAATTTATTTCAACCTCCGTAAATGGTAATATTTTAATGTCTATTTCAAGAATGTTGACGTTGAAATTTGGGGGTCAAGAAAGCAATGCCTGACCTCATATAACAGCAATAATTATTTGCAAAGTAAACAATAGAATATCCAAAACTTCAGCATTTGCTGGCTGAAATATTGTGTGTCAAGTTAAAAATAAAAAAAAGAACACCAAAGCTTTTATCTGAATTAAATCAACGTTATTACATATCTGTCTGGACACATGGTACTGTAGTATGTACAATTTAGGTAATTTTGATACCCTCCTTGACGGGCCTCCGATATAAGTGTCAACATAATCAGAACTAAACAAACTAGTTTGTTAGTTAGGAGAAGAACCTAGCTGTACTGTGTCAAATTTTCGTACCTGTAGCTTTAAAATTATGAAATTTGTATAGAAAAATGTTCAAAAAGTGTCTGGTTGATGGTCCCTGACCAGTACATGCCAGAGCACAGGTACAGTGCGAATAACTGTAGAAAGGATTTCATGATCAATCACAACGTGATGTTACTTGGTGACTTTAACTATGATTTACTTCAAAAAGAGAAGGGAAAACCATTGATGGATTTTATTGAACTATTTGATTTTAAAAATCTAATACAATCTGCAACATGTTTTATGAAAAATTGTACTCCTTCCCTTTTGGATGTCATCTTAACTAACTCTAAGCCTCTTTGTATGAAAACAATGAATTTTGCAACTGGTATTAGTGATTGTCATAATATGATAAGTACAGTGATAAATAACACCATTCCAAAAAATCAGAAAATTAAAATTAGTTATAGAAGCTTCAGAAATCTTGATATTAATTCACTAAATATTGATCTTTCTTCCATAGTAGTTTAGTAATGCTCTGAAGAAAATGTAAATAAAGTATATGAAACTTTTGAACAGGATATCCAACAAATTTTTGACAAACATATTCCTATAAAACAGATGTATAGAAAATCAAAACAACTCCCATACATGAATAGAGAACTTAGAAAAGCAATATATAACAAAAAAATGTATTATAATAAATATTTAAAATGTAAAAATTCCAAAACATGGGAACAATATAGAAAAGCTAGAAATCATGTAAATAAGATAAAGAAAAAGTCAATAAACAATTATTTTAATGAAAGGTGTATAGGAGGATGCAAATCATCAGAATTCTGGGATACAATCAAACCATATTTATCAAATAAATGTACTCTAGAACAGCCAAAAATTATTCTTAATGAAAATAATAATATTATATCAGACGACTCAGAAGTTGCTGAAATTTTTAATAGCTTTTTCACAAATGTAGCAGAATCTATAGGGAAAGATTATGAATACAATGTAGAAAATCATCCTAGTATTGCTCAAATCAATGATAGAAATTTTTTACAAGATGCCTTTAGCTTTGAACAAACATCACAAGGTAATATATCTAAACTTATAAATAATCTAAATGTTAAAAAGGCCACAGGGGCAGATAAAATTTCAGCCAAATTTATTAAACTAGGTAAACCATCACTAGTTGAACCGTTGACAAATCTAATTAACATCTCAATTAAATCACAAGTTTTTCCTACTAAATTAAAACAAGCACAAGTAAAACCACTTTTCAAAAAAAAATGACGTTATGACCAAATCTAACTATAGACCAGTAAGTTTATTACCTATTCCATCTAAACTTTTTGAAAAGGTATTATTTGATCAGCTCTCTGCTTTTTTTGATGATATATTTGACAATTATTTATGTGCTTTTAGGAAAGGCCATGGGTGTCAAACTACTCTGTTAAGACTGCTTGAGGACTGGAGACAGGCCCTGGATAACAATGAATATGTGGCAGCAATTTTGATGGACTTATCTAAGGCATTTGATTGTCTGCCACATGACATTCTTTTAGATAAGCTAAAAGCATATGGCTTATCAGGCCTGCCACCAACCTCATGCAATCTTATCTGTCAAACAGGAAACAGCAAATAAAAATAGGCAATATTGTAAGTTCATGGGCTAATATATCCAAAGGTGTCCCTCAAGGATCAATCCTGGGCCCTCTACTGTTCAATATTTTCATAAATGACATATTTTTCTTTATAAAAAAATGTACTTTATATAACTATGCAGATGACAATACCCTTTCTTTTCGGACTAAATATTTTGATGAACTAATATGTACCTTAGAACAAGAAAGTAACTATCTTATAAATTGGTTTCATTTTAATAAAATGCAAGCTAACCCTGATAAATTTCAAGCTATTGCTGTAGGGAAGAAAACTTTCACTAAATCCCCAGCTTTCAAAATTAATACTAGTGAAATAACTTGTGACGAAATTGTAAAACTCCTTGGCATCGACATTGATCAACAATTAAATTTTTAATTTTCACATAAGCAATATATGTAAAAAAGCTGCTAATCAGTTAAACATCCTCAAAAGAATAGGTCACAATTTAAATCAAACAAATAGGCTAACAATCTTTCATACTTTTATTTTGTCCAATTTTAATTTCTGTCCTATGGCATGGCATTTCTGTTCAGAAAATAATACAAACAAGATGGAAAAACTACAGGAAAGAGCACTCAGATTTGTATATAATGATTTTAATTCAAGTTATGAAGATATGCTGATAAAAGTTAATATACCAACTCTAAAAATAAGAAGAATGAGGGCTATGGCCATTGAAACTTTTAAAATTTTTCATGATATGTCTCCTGCTGTTCTGTCTGACCTTATTGTCAAGAAAACTACTGGTATTAATTTTAAATATTCAAATATTTTGCAGATCCCACAAGTAAGAACTACAACTACAGGTAAAAAATCTTTCAGGTATGCTGCACCTGCTTTATGGAATACTCTACCCGAAAATTTTAGAAAATGTTCAAATTTTGCTCAGTTTAAAAAGTTAATTTCATCCTGGAATGGTAAACAGTGTAAATGTATTGCTTGCAGCTAACTTCTATATCTTGATTTACTCCACTTTTTTATTTATTTTTCTGGGTATGAACATTTATCATTTAGCTTCTTCAGTTTTTTCTTGCTTGCTTTAAATGTGTTTTTTGCTATTCTTCCCTGCTTATGTTAATATTATCATTTAGTTTCTAGATAGGATGTTGCTTTATTTTGTGATCTTTTGTTTTGATCTTGCTTTTTGTTTTGTTGTTTTTTTTGTTTTTTTTGCTTATCTTTTCCAGCATGACTCAAGCTAGCTGTTAAATGAGTTCAACTAATGACTTACATGTTTAATACCTTCTGTCTTTGTGTAGCCTGATAATCCATAGTCTTTCATATTTAAATTATATATTAAAATGTATGTTGTTTTTTAGTATTTTTATTTATTTATTTATTTAAATAATTCATTAAATTTTTAATTGATTACTCGGTATATTATTGAACTTTAAGTAAATTTTTAGATACTAGACTTTGCTAGTGATGTAGATTTGGGTAAACTATCATTTTTAGTTTTTTAGCATATGATTCGTTTTTATAAATATATCCTAAAAGGTCTATTTTATGCATGTGATGTATATATATCATGTCTAATCATTTTTTATTGTAGCTGTTTTATCTTTGTTGATCTTATACTTTATGTTATTTACAGTCGGTTATAAAAGCTCCTAGAGCTTATGTTGTAATGTTGAAAACTTGCCGACTTGAAATAAAACTTATCTTATCTTATCTTATCTTAACGAAAGTGACCTGAGCTGCGCTGTCTGGGAATCGAACCAGTGTCGTCTGTTACACAGTCCAAGGCTCTACCTATTGAGCTCAAAAATATGAAAATCAAGAAGAATATGCATATATAATTATATCTTACATCTTATAAATCATTCATCACTGAGTCATCAATTGGTATTTTTTACTTTTTAAATTATTCTCAGTTAATGTTATCACTTTTTATTTTTTATCTTTGGTAGACTAAAACAATCTAAAGTAAACATTAACAAAGTCTGTATAAATTTCAATAAATAAAGAATGTTATCAATCACTTTCTGAACCAATATAACTAATTTAAATGAAATATATACTCGTTTAAGGTTCGTAAATAAATAAATATTTACTTTCGATTTCCTACTCACTGAACGCTTGAACGTTATCTGTAAAGCGTCTGGGTGCAAAATAGGTTTGAAGCTATTTTCCGTACCATAACCGTACGCATCTTTAGGTTGCAGAGAACTAAATTCAGTTTCAGTTTCAGTTTATTTCTAGTAATATAGGCCTCAGGCCCAAAATACAAAGTACAACAATACATCAAACAGTAGAGTGATAAATTGCAAATACATTTGTTACTAGATGTAATGAATTGAATTTGTAAATAATTATACAGTATTTATCTCTTCCTTTCTTACATTCATTGCATAATATATATATTTAGCAATAGATATTACTTCATTTATTATTGTTGATGACATGAGAGAATAAAATAAATGGTGGGAATGATGATGTAACCATGTATCTTTAAAATAGACAGCTCTGATATTGTTATATAGTGAACATTCAAAGAAAAAATGATATTCATCCTCAATAACATAAATATTTGTCTTTAGGCAATGAAAGCAATATCTTAAATCTCTATCTATTCCAATATGTCTACCTTTCTCTATCATAAGATTATGACATGAACAGCGAAAATTAGAAAAAGCTCTTCTATACTTATATGCTAAATCTAAACTTAAATATCGTTCAACATTAAGTAAAGTCTTAATTAAAGTACTTGTAATGTAATGCTTTAGGAGAAGAATCAACAGCATTATGCCAGTTTTGTGAATAACAATCAAATAAGCGTTGCTTAAACATATCAATGAAATTTAAGTCATCACCGACATCATGAGAGATACATACGTATCCAAAACCAAATTGAAAAAGCATATCTTTAATGTTGCCAGCCCATGTTTTCCGTCCAGATTCGTGTAGTCGTTTTAACATCAAATAACAATGTTTTGGGTACCTATGATCTCCCAAATATAAATATAGAACAGTTAACACTGTTCATTGATAGTTTAAACACATATTACACTGCCAATTTGACAAAGTAAACTATGCAAAAGTCATTAGTCCTTTGTTTGCAGATATTGGTTCATTTTGAGACACTTCACCTCCTAGGAAAGGCGATGTTAATAATGTCGATTCAGGGCTTTCTTTACAATATGTTTTTAGCAAAATATTGTATTTCTGTATTTAACAAACTTAATTTCGTTGTACATTTCTAAAAACCGAGCATTCAATTTTCTCAACATATTAGTTTAATAGATCAAACACTAAAATAAGCTATATATTGCTTTTAAAAATGAATTCATACTCGTGCTTATACCTCTAATCTAACAGTAATGTATCTTAAATTTAGTTCATGATTACTTGACATAAACATAGTATGTATAGTAAGAAAGCAGGAACAAGTCGATATGATATGTATAGTTTAGTTTAGATATTTATATTTTGTTACCATTTATTTGAAATTTGTTAAATACTGATTACTGCAGTACGGAGAAAGTTTTCAATAAAAAGCTTTATGTACAAGCTTCCTACTCAATCCGTAAATTTTATTTCATGTACTTTATTATGTAAATGTATGAATTATAAATAAAGTATAGTTTAAACTAAAAACCGATTCGGATTTAAGGCTGCAGAGTATTCAATAATTGGCAACGCATTTATCTTAAATCCATTTTATTATTTATTGCACGGGAACGGATATTTACGATGATAGTATGTTATTTCATACAAATTGCCACAGATATATTTAGCTCCACGAAATTACTAATACCTCTGCAGCGATTTTTATTACACCTCCATGATTGTACATTACAGTAAGTCATGTAAATACACCATCAATTAATGTGAAAATGAAAAATATACACACAAAATCTTAAAAACGTACCTGCATTCTGTAGCATACAGAATAGCATACAGTTGTTGTGATAGCCAACAACCACGTCATTGGCTAAGCTAAAAACATTTGAGCCGCGTCACGACAAAATCAATATAATGCGTTTGCGACCAGCATGGATCCAGACCAGCCTGTGCATCCGCGCAGTCTGATCAGGGCTATCAGTTTCACTACTTGTTATAGGGTTTATAAGCGAACAGCATGGATCCTGATCAGACTGCGCGGATGCGCAGGCTTGTCTGCAACCATGCTGGTCGCAAACGCATTATGTTGGTTTTGTCATGACGCGGCTCATTTGAAGAGGTTTGAGATTAGGTCTTTGTAATAAGAGACCAATTATACAAAAAGTGCTATTTGCAAGATGGATATGGAGGTTTTTTAATTGTTTTATCTCAACTGAATTTGACAGAGTTTTTTTCTTTTTAAATAGATTAAAGTATACATGTAAAAATGTTTATAAAGATAATTTTTCTATCGATACTTAAAGGCTTCTTGAATGTCGACGACAAAAGATGTAAAAACACAAAATTAGAAATTGTAAGCAATTTTTCGTCACTTACACATAAATATCTTTGAATTATATGTAAAAAGTAAAGCGTGTGATATTATCTATTTTGAATTCATTTTATAACCACGACTAAAAATACAAATACTGTCCCTTTTTAATGTTTGATAACATTTGTCCAATTTGAAAGTTATCTAAAATTTGGGGTCACAGTTAATTTGATGATTCAAAACGTTTACATTAATTATCATGTTAGTAAAATGTTTATAAGTTCAAAACCAAACTGTATTTGTTTGACGACTGAGCTAGTTTATCAACTACATATGCCATTGTCTGGACCTTAGAATTGGCTGTCTTGACATTGATCGGAAAATAAAAGGGAAGAAAAAAAGATATCCCAAGAAGTGATTGACTCTACAAAGTGTGTAATGAGAACAATGACGAAGGTCAACATCATTTCTAACTTATATGTGACTTGCTATGGGGTATGAGGGATGTTGCTCTTTTTCATCATTCCTGATGTGCAGACTTCATCAATCCTAGTCTGCAATTTTCATGTAATTTTGTTGTGATTAATGCACCTGAGGGATCACTTTTCTTCCAGATTTTTATGGTGATTTACCCAATAATCACCTACATTTGAAGTTTTTAAGTAAAAGGATTTACTATTACGTTCGCGCGACTGCACGAACGTTTACCAGAGGTGTAGCAAAGTTTCGGCAAAGGGTAATGCATCCCCGCCCCTACTTTTTGTTCTACAGAAGTCGGTTACATGAAGAAAAAAAAATCGAATTTCAAAATCTTTAAATCTTCTATTTATGATAAAAAAGACAGAGTTTTATTTAGGGGAACAGGTTGGTTTGTTTAAAAGTAGATGATTTTGTTAATTTGATATTATCAAAAGGTCAAGGAGCTTCAATGTTTAAAATAGAACTGTTTACAAACAAACCGTGCTTGACCTCCTGATAATTTAGTAGTTTTTGCCTAAAGTGTCTTAGAAGTGAAGAGCCAATTGGTCAAAGCGTCACCAATGCCATATAGCCTTTATCCTCTCCTGTTTCGCATTACTTGGGTGTCTTTGCTTGTGTAGAAATGACTGAAAATGCACAGGCGGTATACTTGTCAATAGAAGGGAAAAAATGTAAATGCGGTATTGAAGAATCAGAAAATAAGTGTTGCTTCCCTTCCATTAATAAAACTTTTTTAGAATTTCTTTTCAATTATGAAAAATCACTGCTGACATGCTGTATTGAAAGATATTAAAACTTTACTGAGTTTATAGGTTAATATGTTAAATTCCGTAGGATTTTCATAAACCGTTCAGTAAGCTGGTTAAAAGAGTAAACAGTGGAAGAATGTCCTATACTTTACCGCAAGATGTTAAAAGAGGTGGATTTCTTTTCCCCCCGTTATAATTATGGTGATGTTTGTAATGTCTTTATGTGTGCTTTCAAAGATGAAATGCTGATTCCTATAAAATCTCATTAGAGTCTAAGAATTTCTGACTGCAGGAAACATTTGAACTTGAACTGTATTCTAAAGGGTGGATTAACCCTTAACGCAATGGGACTTTTCCATGTCGAATTTTAGTACTGTCCTTTATCAATTTTGGGGATATCAAGATGAAAACTTAAAGCTATGTCAACCAACTGTATAGAGCTAAGTAAAACTGCTCAGAAGTTCGGGCTTGGCTGTTCTTAGTTATCCGCTTTCCGTTCTAGCTTTGTAGGTTTTAATCTTCGTCACACATTAAGCTTTTAACTATTTCTTTACGCCGAACTTTTATAATTAAAAGACCTTATACATGCGAGTACTTAACCGTGGAGTGTTAAATGTATACAATGTATTTCTAAATAAGAACATGCTAATGTGCTTGACACATGTTTCATGCTGACCATAAAAAGAAAAAAACTGCATCTTAAATAACTTCTTGGTACGGTGAGTTTATTTCATAATAACAGAAAAAAAAACAATAGTGATAACTTTCAACATAAATTTTATTAATAAAACTACTTATATATTTTCATAACCGGTTAAACTTCTTTAGTAAAATGTTGAACTGTTTCCAGTTAAATGTTTTCATTGCTTCTGCTATACATTCTGGAAATATAATAATAGATAAACAAATATATTAATGCTTAAGTACGTATTTTTTTTTTTTTTCGAAAAGTTTGACATATCATGCTTGCTTTCCGAAAGAAAAATTAGATTTACAGTATACAAAATTTATATATACAGAAAGATTTGGAAGTCTTTCTTTTATTAGAATTAAAAATTTCTTTGTAAAACAGGTAATTGTTATACAGGCGGCCACTTTATACAGGTATGTTGTTTTAGTAGCAATTATCAAAACGCTATAGGAATAAAGCACGTACATTTTGTAGATTATTGTAATGTAACATTTTAATTATATTTGTTTATATTCCTGTATACTATGCTTCTAAAAAAATTCATGTTTACATGTATTTTTCTATCATTTTTAATTTGCAATAAGTATGTGTTTACTTAATTGCAATAAACGTTTGAATTGAATTGAATTGATTATCATATCGAATATATATTCTATTCCAGGAACATCTTTTTTCATCAAATGACATTGTTAAACTTATTAGATAATCAAATGAATGTATTGATAATTTAAATGGGTCTTACATTATTCACATTTTCAATGGGTATATTATTTGGAAGCGATTTCATGCACGGGAGTCTCGAGGGTTTTGTTGACTCTATTAATAAATCGCAGTTGCTGTTTGGCCTGGATGA